AGAAACTGTGGGGACACTGCGCAAAGGCACTGGCAGGACGTGGTGAACAAAACCGTGGACGCGGTCGATCCAGTCTTCGAAGTTGTCTGAGCTGTCTACGGGTGCATCTCCCGGTTGCGCGGTTCGTCGCGAAAGCCCATCGGGGCCATGCAAGGTGCCTGGGACGTGGACAAGATTGAAATGGAAGGTGATGATTCCCAGGATCCAGCGATTGATGCTTGCGCCAGGTGCGAGATCGGGATTCTGGAGCATGCCCTTGATGTATTGCGCGTCGACCTCCACGATAAGGTTATGGATGCCGACGAGGTAGATCTTGGTAGCCTGCAACGCGCGGAAGAGACCGTACAGCTCCAGTTTTGGTTGGGAAAACCGCGATTTGCGGTCGTTGAGAGTGATGGAGCCAAAGTGACTGTAGAACTGCTTATGCGGATCGTCTTTGTCGCACTGGCAGAGGTGATATCCGACCGCGATGTACGACGTGTCCACCGCTAAGATTACCGATGCGTGAGAGTTGTAGTTGATCGCACAAAGTGCCAGGGATTCGAGTAGCGCTTGGCGAAGGTCGTTCATTGCTGCTAGCTGCGGCTCCCTGAACTCGAAAGGTATCTCCTTCCGCGTAAGCTGCACGAGCGCATTCGCACGCTTCGCAAAGTTGCGGATGAAGATTCGCACGACTCCAATCGTTCCGAGAAATGCCCGCATGTCCAAAAGGTCTTTGCAGGGACCCCAGTTGCGGATCACTGCTGCGCGGGACTCGTCCGGAAGCTGCCCCTCTGGCGTACAGCGATGTCCAACAACCATGATTTCCCGCGCGCAGAGGATCAACTTGGTGCCTGAGAAAGTACCCCCAGCGTACTTCATCCGTTGGACTACCCGATTGATGTTGCCAAAGTGTTCCCACACGAAACACCGGATTTCGCGGTTCTGCGGAATGGTTTCGTAGACCCCGTTTGTATTGCGGTAGTTGGATTCGGGGCCCTTGCAAGGGACATTGTCGATGTAGGGGGCCGTCAGGTCTGGGATCTCAGGCCTCAGGATATAGGTGACGTCCTTGTGGAAGATGGGGACAGAGTTGGACCAGCCCATAGGGAGCGTACAGTGCCGCAGTGCGCCGAAGGGAGTCTGGAACATAGTGAGGTCTCTGGAGGATTCCGCGATCAGGCGCGACCTCCAAACTGTTCCGCGAGGTAGTTGGGCGTGGGCGGTACTCCCAAATGCTGGATGGTGACTTTGTTGAGTGGTTCGAGACTGTGGACGATGCGTAGTGAGTGTTTGTCCTTCTTCAGGACGCAGAACCACCACGAACGGTAAGAGGAGTTGGACAGCTCGTAGACTCCGGCCGCGATCTTGCGTTTGAGCATATCGCACACTTCCTTGTACAGGCCCAGTGGAATAGGAATATTCTTCTCCACCCATGGCATGTGTGGAAGGACCGGAAACTCGACAGGCGGGAAGAACTCTGGCTTGAAACACCCGCGCTCGTCGTCGCTCCATGCAAAACCGTTGTTGTGGACGCTCATGAAGTGATGGACAAGCTTCTTCTCCTCCGCCCACAGGAAGTCGTCGCCGTGAGCCTTGTCGAAGGCCTCCTTACGCTCCTGTGTGTAGCGACCAGTTGGTACGAATGGTGGGGGTGTTGGTGAGAGCTTCGGCATCGTAGCGAGAGGGTCCCCCGTGATGTGGTGTTCTATGCGGAACTTCTCCGGGCACGTCCCAAGGACTGCACGCACCTTCTGCGCAACGGGCTTGTACTTCTTCTTGGACTGGATATAGGCACTTGCAAGCCCATCAACAGTCGGAGTATCCGCCGCTGCATCAGGTTCCGCGCTCGTCTGGGACGCCGTTCGCGCGGTGGTTTCGCACGCTACTGCCGGCGAAGTGTCTGCTGCGGAACGGGGGTATACGACGCGGGAGCCCTTGTCCGTTCTATAGGAGAACACGAACACACCGCTAGAGTCTAGTGTAGATGGTGCAGGTTGTGAGGAATACGGGGTATCGGCGCCGCCGGGTTGAACCGTGGTAGAGAAGATGTTTGCCCTCGGCGCTTCGCGCGCGGAAGGGCCAGGGCGAACGTCTCGAGGTAACAGAGGAGACAGGGGAGACAGGCTATCGGATGGTTCGCTTTGTGGGTTTGATGCGTGAAAGAACACTTTTGTAATGTTTGGGATTCGGTCGCAGGCAGAGAGATAGAGAGCAGGTATAGGTACAGAGGGATCGGAGACTTGGGTATAGGCGCAGATGCGCGGAACGCCGCCATCCATCTTGATGATGACAGCGACTTCTTTGCTACCATCTTCAAATAGTAGGCTCGGGTCGGACAGGCTCGGGGTTAGGACGGGCTCGAAAACGAGCACGTCCCCGTGGAATGGTGGGGATCGTTGCGATTTGTCCAGTGTTGGGGCATTTGATAGTGATGGTCTGGTCTTCGTTGTCAAAGTTCTTGATGACGCTCTTGGTTAGAACGTCGAAGGGCCTTCCAAGCAGCATGTCGTACGCCGCATTGCAAACGACGTGGACCTGTAGGTAAACGACAATCGTCGAGACCTTGAACGGCATGTTCTGCACCAGTCCGAGCGATTTCTCGACCTCTCCGTTCGCGGACTGCATGTTCAGCCGTATTGTGGGGTCGTACAATAGTCCGAGGTGGTGACACACGTGCTCTGACATCGCGACGATCATACAGCCAGGGTCGACGATCGCTTCCACGTACTCCTTGGTATCAACAAGGCCGACGATCGACCACAACGCGTGCAACTCCTTCGCGTTCTTCAGCGGAGGACTCTCTCCAGATGGCGCTACATCGCGGAGGTAGACGTCATAAAGGTCGGGGAGAACGAAGCCACCAGGCTCTAGCGGCGTCCCAAAACACGAGAGTTCCTCCTGCTCCGTTTCGGCCGCTCCCTGAGCCCCTCCAACGCTGGCGAACGCGACAGTTTGCTGCCCCGTGGGTGGGACTCGTCGTGGGGTGACCGCTTCGTGGAACTTCGCGCGGACCTCCGGTGCCAGCGAGAGCAGCTCCTCCGTCGAGACGTGATCACGGGAGTCTTCATCATACGCTCAAAGACTGCGGCAGCGAGCCCGGGTTGATAGACCGGTGCGATGGTGCGAAAGGCACCGTTGCGCTCTTGTTCCTTCGGTTTCGCAGGTGGCGCTCCAAAGGCGCGCACATTCGGAGGCGCGTAAGTCGCATCGCGCGCTTTCGCGAAGGGGTGCTCCGGTAGCAGTGGCACACCTTGATCCGCCGGTGCGCGGTACGGGGTCCCGGGGCGCTCCTGCGGTCGTGGCTGCTCAGGCACCTGGTTCTCTGTGGTGCGGATAGTGGTGTCGTGTACGGACCGTTCGCGGTCCCCGGCCGCTACCGTTTCGCGGAATTGCAGTGCAGGTTTGAGATGCAGAGGGACCGGCCGAGGAGGCAGCACAGCAGCGTTAGGCTTTGGAGGTGCGAAGGCTGCTGAAGATTGCGATGGGCCCGGACGTGGGCCGCGAAACTGGCCGCGAACATGGCTTCTGGAACGAGGGTATCTCCACGCCGTCAAAGTGTTCCTTCCCCCTCTTGAGCATGTAGAGCTCGTGCTCCAACTGCTGGATACGATCCTCCGCTGTGAACTGGAAGCTGCTAGCCCACGGTTCCATGTCCTCCGTGATCGCAAACACCATTTGGGCCGCCGGCGCGGGGTTCTGGCCTTGGCGAACACGCTCTCGCCGATGCCATTCATAGAGCCGATTGCGCATAGTCAAGCCATCAAATCCGGGGAGCTGCCGCGGAAGAAATTGGCCAGTGGGAAGCACAATTAGACCTTCCGGGTTTTGCGAACACTTCCCTTCGCGGATATTGGTTTCCGCAGCTGGGCAGTTCCACAGCATGTGGTTCGCGTCCCCGCAGAAGTGACAGAAGCTGTTGGGCAGCGCGTTCGTCACAAAACCGTTCCCTCCCTGCTGAAAGCCTTGTGCCCCTTGCATCATGCCTTGATAGTTAGGCGCGGGGTGTGCACCGGCGTTCAGGGGCCCTAGAAAGCGGTTTGCAGTCGTGGCGGCATTTGCGTTGTTGCCACCTTGCGCAAGGAGGTGAAAGAGCGGTGCGAGGTCCTCCACCTTAATGCTCGTATTGTCCGCGGGCACCGCGGTCTGGGGAATGGCTGGCATCACCTGGTACGACACGGCCGTCGTTCCGTGCAGAATGAACTTCGCAACTTCGTAGACTTTAGCCAGCTCGTAGGCCTCGTCCAGGTGGTGGTCAGGGTCCTTGAGTTGCAGTCGCTGTGAGACCTGGTCGCGGAGCGGATTGCAGAGTCCTCGTACGAACAGTCTCGACTGTTCGAATGCGGACATCTTGTTTTGCTGGATCAGGTAGGACGTCATCGCATAAAACGGCCTATAGAACTCGCCGAGCTCGCTGCTGGTTGTGATCGGCGCCCTACTACGGCTCTCCAGCAGCTGGTCAACTTCCGCGTTAGAGAACTTCCGCGTTTCGCTGGCCCCAGGGTGCGCTGCGTAGATTGCGGAGTGGAACTCCTTGAAGGTCTTCGTCTCATCCTTGAATTCTGCCATCTCCTCGTAGAACTCCGACTCCTTGATCGGCACGTACTGCGTGACCCATTTCTTCTGCTGCTTCGGGTCCATTACACCCGTGATCTCAAAAAGTGTCTCGAGGTCCTGGAAGAACCGGCGGAGGTTCCGCGGCTCGCTAGAGTCAAAGGTGGGTGCAGTTGCGTGCCCGCGCGCTGGCATCGAGCGGCGCATTGCGAAGTTGTTCTGTTCCGCCATAGAGGACTAAGGCTGGGCAGCAGATCCAGATCATGTGCAGATCAACCTGGATCTGACCTGAAAATTGATCTGTGGATCCAGATCTCCCAGGTCTGGATCAGCGCAGGTCTGGATCAACACAGATCCAGGTCAGAGCTTGCAGCCAGACCATGATCCACAGATCACCACTCAAAAATTTGTGTCCTTATGGAAGACCTTTAGAACCTCATAATTTGTCCATTGGACCAATGAAAAGTTTTGGATGCACAGATCCCTCACACAGTCACCTGGACCTGGATCTGTTTTGATCTGGCCCCACAGATCCAGATCAAAACAGATCCAGGCCAGCACAGGTCCAGATCTAGGAATATTTGGCTCCTTGATCTGTGGGTTCAGATCCAGATCATCTGTGGATCGATCCATGCCCAGCCTTATAGAGGACACAGTGGAGTGATCGCGTGAGTGAGAGGAGGCGCTAGGAGTTTGGTGTGTCGTGTTGCTGTCTGAGGATGATGGTTCTAGCAGAGTGAGGTTCGAGACCACAGATTGCGGGCTACCATATGGTGTGGCGTAGTTGAGGAAGGACTCCTCTGCACCTTCCGCGAGTGGTTCGGAGAGGATAGGCTGCGATGAGAGGATCGCGCGGTGGACAACGGTGTTTGCGGTGTCCTGTAGCCAATGGGTCGCGGAAGGGTCGGTTTTGAGCGCTTGGATACTTTTCGCGAGTAGCGCGAAGAGCGGGTCTACTAGCGAGGGTACTAGGTCAAGCACTAGTTGGTTCCTCAGCCGTGATACACCTCGTAGAAGCTGGTCCATGAAGTCTTGTTGTTGGGGAAGGGTAAGGTTCAACTCATCGTCGTTTGCGAGGGTCGCGTTGGAGGCCCACTCGAGTAGGGGGGCAGTTGCGATGACCGCGAGTGCTTCCGAGCGGACCCTAGCTGCGGTGGTGGCGCAAAAGACGGCAGGCTCGTTCAGGAGTATTGCGGTGCCCGTATCAAGGATGGCTAGAGCCGCGCGAAGGAGCGCGTCGATCTGATCTTTGCTGAGGGAGCGCGGAAGCCTTTTTGCAAAGGCACGGATTTGCTCGGGAAGGAGGGCGCTTGAGAGTGTGTCGTTTTGTCGAGACGCAGAATGCAATCTGCGATGAATCGCTGCTGAGACGGCGCTATCGCCGTCGAAGGAGGAAGCCGACAAGTGAAACTTGTACACACACCCCCTGCGGTGGTCACCAGAACGATGCACTCAACCGACCAGTAAGGACGGAAGAAGGAGACGGTCGAGAGCCCTAGGAGGTCGAGACCGGGCTGCGGAATGTCTCGCGAAGCGCGAGGAGAAGCAGGTTCGTGTCGGGTGCCCTTCGGGCGGCGCAGTACACGGGAGAACGCAGTAGAGGGAGCGGAAGAGGGAAGGACGGTGGACTGATGACAACTCAGCTGAGCTGGCGTTCCACGGGACGCGGGAGGGCCTCTTCGCAGCCTGTGTTAGGCTTCACAGGGAGTCCGCAACGCTAAACGCTATTTTGCAGGGGTTCGCAGAGCTCGCAGTTTGCAGGGTCGTCGAGGGTTCTTCGTGAGAGAAGGTGAAATCTGAGCCAAGGGGGGATTTCCATTCTCACAGCCCGAGGGTGTAGGTATTTACAGGGCCAGCCAAAACCGTGCTACAGTGATCAGAAAGTCTCTACGGAACGTCCATCGCGGAGGGGACTGGCGCCCGCGATGCGCCAGCCGTCTACCGCGTAAACGCGGAACACGCCCATGCGCCCCACCGGTCCGGTGATGCGGAACGCACCCCCTCCGCGCGTGTCTGCCCATGCGGTCGTGATATCACGCAATAAGTCGTTCCGCGCGAGTGCAAAGCTTCCGCGCCCACACCGCGATGAGGCCTCTGCCCCGTTGAGGTCTCGCGAACCCGCGGAAACCGCGAAAAGAAGGCCAGGCAGGTGGTGGCTCGATACCGGGCGTATCACCGCTCTCGAACTCTGAGACGCCCCCGGTTGAATCAACTGCCCGGGCTCCAGGGAGCGCCGCTGCCCCCTCCAAGACCGAGTCGGCACGCTCTCCCATCAGTACATTGCCCTCGAAGGTCGACAACGACGACACCCCCATGCCTGTTCCAGAGTGGGTTACAGATGCGACACGCTACTTTGCGCTCATCAAAGGTGGCGAGCGCTGGAAGCGCCTCATGGACAACTGGCTGGAGTTCGAGAACGTCCTACGCTATCCCAACGGACAGGTGAGTATCAGGAGTGTTCCGTGAGGCATCAATACTAAGTTGCTGCTACAGGACACCAGCAATCGTCTCGCTAAGGAATTTCGCCCTGATGAAGTGAGGTTATGGATGAAGAATCACCGGCTCTACGAGAAGCTCCCCAAGATCAAGTCCCCAAAGCAATTCTCTGTGTCCTGGAAGAGGTGGTGGGTCTCGCTGCAGCCCTCCTTGCGCACGAACGACGAAGCTTGGCCGCTGCCCCGAAGTGAGCCCGTCAATCCTTCTGATTGGGATATAGTGGCCAGAGGCGGCTGCAACGGCTTGTTCCTTGTTGTCCTAACCCTCGCTTGGTGGCTATGGGTGACGCTTAACGAGAACGAGGACAGCATGGACGTCTTCAGCACCATTGAGGACGTCAGCTGGGTATGTAGGACCATAACTGCATATGTTCGCATTCGCCGTCCAAACAATAGCGAGGACAACGAGATTGATGACGAGTGCCCTACCAAGTGTCCGCGTTTGGAGTAGCCATGCTTGACCGGCCTGGTTTAGCTTGTACTTTGTACCACCGTCATTCAATATCATTCTGAAGTCTCCGAGTCCAAGTTGCTTGTCTGCGTCGGCAGAAAAGGATGACATATGGCAGTTTTGAACTGGCAGCCACTATGGGCACCTACACCCGGTGGCAGCGCAAGATCACACGCTTGTGTGCATGACAGCTGCGGGCACGCTCTACAGGCACTACATTACTGATGAGGCAATGCGGCGTTGAGTAGCACTTCCAAATATGGTAATTGAAGCGAGCGTCGAGTAGGAATTCCCAATTTGGCAACACGGCAAGCTTTGAAGCTGCCACATGGGCGATCTGCTGAAGCCAAATATGGCAGGCATACCATTGTACAATCTATCCACCAGACTAATTGACAGGCTAGACCAGGGGCTCCTAGACTCAATTACAATAATAGACAGGCTAGAGGAGAAGCTTCAAGGATCAATTACAATAACAGACAGGCAAGGCTAGGGAATAATATAATGATGTACCAGGGGAATTAACAAAGATAATGGGCAGTGACAGAATACACAGAGTTTGCACCAGCTACATGGGCCATAATTTTATTATACTGGCCAGTTGCTGTTGTAACTATAATACATCATAAACCGACTATCTGCCTGGGACGTTTTACATCATAAACTGTTTATGTACTGATCTATCACGAGGGCTTGTATAGCCGCCTGCGGGGTTGTAGGCCCTCCCCCGGCATCTCGGCCGCCTTCCCAATGCGGCAGTTTGCCTTCGCGTACGCTCCTCCTCCTCGCTTACTGGTGTACACACCCCCAAATGGCAATACACGGTGCTACCTACTTTGGCCAGATCTACTGATCTGATGCCTGCCCCTCCCGGACGAGACCACACTGCGCACGCCCTATGCGCCTCGCGTAGCACGCCCTGTGCGCCCTAATGTAGCTCGCCTTCCGCGTCTCAATGCAGCGCGCCGTGCCTACCCCGCCTCGTTCGATGCGCGGGCGCTCCGGAGCCTCTGTGCAAGCGGAGCCCCCGCGGTGCACGTCATAAATTTACCGGCCCTCCCTCCTCGACTTAGTGTAACTCTAGCGGGTCCGTGCGTGTGGTCCGCGCGACGCTGGCATTTGCGCGCGCATTCAGCGCCGCACAACATGACATGCAGGCGGGCACCGCACAGGACACAACACCCAGGCCGTGGTACGCGCTGCTGAAGGGGTTCGCAAGGGGCGTGCATGCCGCGCGTACTCTTGCAAGGGGCGTGCACGCCGCGCGTACTCAGCGCCGCCCCACGTGCGGGCGGGAACGGTACCTCAACAATCCGGGATGCCTAACCACTGGTGAGTGGTCGTCCATAGCAATCACAGCATGGTATTAAAGGGATCTAAGAAAGATGAGCAAAGTACTAGTCCAGGAATGGCGAAGGCGACGACGAAAGCTCGTGGATATGACAAGTATGGCAGATAGGCGTACTGACGATATAGTAAGTGCAAATGAGCGGTGCACCCGGGGCGAAAACGAGAGAGTTGCCGCGGGCTAACACGGGGTGGATGTTGTATGTAGAACCAAGAAGCGAGAGGCCGGTCGTGAGCGAAAACGAGAGGTGTGCAGCAAGGGAAAATGAGAGGCGGGCAGTGAGGCAAAACAAGATGTGGGCGGCGAGCAAAGACGAGAGGCACGTGGTGCCGACAAGATGTGCGGGAAATGGCGTCCATATAGGTAGAGTTGGCGAGCAAACTAGAGGGCAAAACTGGCCTAGAGGGCCGTGGATAGCACATTGGCGAGTATGTGTGCTGGGGGTATATGTGAAGGGCGAGTGGGGGAGCAGGACAAAGGCGGCCATGGAGCTGCTATCGAGGGAATCGGTCCGCCATCAAACACGTGCACGCTTCGATCGGCATGACGGTACCCCCGCAGGCTCTGTGTCCCCCTCGAAAGGTCGCTTCCTGTCCAGGTAGTTAGCAAAAGTACAAATAGACGTAAGTGTGATATACATACTGGGAAGGCGCATCCTCGACCGCACTCTGAGCCATGGAAGAGATCACCCAGCTGACATCGATCACGGCAGCTTGCCACTCCATCCGTGTGGCCGAGGTGTTGGAATGCGCGATTTAGCGCTGGAAAGTTCGTATGGTTTCTCGATTAGGACACAATGACTAAGCGATTACTTAGGTAGTACTAGAAAATTCGTTTGTAAGTAGTATATAAGTGCGCGGCCTACAGCCGCGTCTCTACGCCTTTAATTCACTTTCATCCCTCTCCTCTCGGGACTTCTGACACGAGGACAGCACTCCATGCCACCATGACAGCGACAGCAGCACCATCATGAGCCCGTTCTTGCCGGGGTTCTTGAGCACGTCCCAGTCGCCGTTCCCCCCGGGGACTGGTCTACCTGAGCTATCTCGCAGACGCCACTCTAGCTATAGACCACCCCACCACAGCCACCACAGCCTACAGAACTCTGCCTCGTCTGCGATCTCGGGCGGCTTCTTGAGATCGCAACGGAGCACGCGCATCCAGACATGGAAGGCCTCGGGGCGGTGCTCAGTGCCAAAACCCTTTGCCTAGTGTTCCGTCAGCGTGCTGATGATGTAAGAGAGATAGAAGTACATACCGACGTCTCGAACCCGTACGCACGTTTGACGACGGTCCACCACTCCAACACCCGCATGAAATCGGGCCCCATGCGGAGACTCTCCATGTGGTTGAACCCAGTTCTGAGCCACTCTGGCCAGCCCTCTTCATCCAACATGATGATGTCGTGCACAATGGGAGGGGATTCCGGGGACGTTTCGAGAATGGCCCCCGACATAGTACCGGGTGCTGCGAGCGTACGGGTTGCGCTGTCGGTGGAGTGGGAGGCATCCGTGGCAGTTGGTGGCGCTGCGGGCGTAGTCATCGTGGTTGTGGTTGGCGCGTTTGGACTCGGCAAGTTCGAGGACGACGCGGTGGCGGCGGCGGTTTTCCCCGTAGTGGTCGCCACGCTCGTATCTATCGCAGAGGACGACGCTGCGGCACTCGTGGACAGCACCGTGCTTTCCGTAGTCTCCGTTGCTGCAGTGCCTTCTGGGCCCATCGCGCTCGGAGTCGTCGTCGTGACGGTAGTAGTCCCCGTCGTCGACCGTGAGGTCCCCGTGGTTGTAACCAAAGAGTTGCAACCAGCTGGGGTACCAGAGGATGTGATCGGTGTTGCACTGCCCGAGGCGAGCGATTTCGAGCTGTGTGCGGTGAGGCGACCGGACTTGCGGGAGGGACCAGTGGGTACGGTCTTGCGCGACGTCCGGGTCTTCTTTGATGATTTCGGCTGAGGGAGGGCGCAGAGATACAGGGAGATGGGCTCCGGCGTGGTCCTCAAGTTGTTGAGCAGGGAGGTGGCACTCGCACGCGAGTTAATGCAGTCAATATCGTACTCGCTGTACCGGCTGAGTCGCCAAAGATGGGCACACTGAACCTCCTCTGAATGCCGGGCGAGCTCTTCGCACACCACAGGACTGAGCCCGACCTCTTCGGCGGTGGGGACCTTGGCGCCAGCGAGCACCGCAGGCATCTCCTGCTCGACCTCACCATCCTGCCCCTCGTCCTCGTCCTCGTCCGCTTCCTTGTCCTTGTCCTCATCCCCCTCGTCCTCTTCATTCCACTCGCCCTCGTCCTCGTCCTCCTCGTCAGTGTCCTCATCGTCACTCTCCTCGGCTACCAGGGACTGGTGTGACTTGCCCTTCCCGCTGCGCCGACCTTGGTGGGAGACCGGCTGCCTTTGCTTTGTCGCCACCTGCTTCGCTTTCCCGACCGTGGTGTTACGCGTAGTCGCCGTAGACTTCTTCCCAGAGGTCGACGTCACTTTGATGGTCCCCGAAGAGAACGTCGAGGGTTGGGCGGCGGAGGCGGCAGAAGTCGATGGTGCGGGAGCGGAGAGATCGTCCGATGACAGTTCAACCGGCGCATTGGGCGGGGTTGAGAGCTGACCGTCGGTGCTGCTTTCAGAGGGGTTGACGAGGTTGTGCAGGCGCGTCTGCCATTCTGCAAGAACAGTAAGTTCAGTAAGACGGATGTGAGATACTTCGTAAAGGGACATACCAGAGCTTGCCATCAGATACCTCGTGTACGACATCATCACGTCGGTCTTGAACTTCTCCGGCTCGTGTGCATGCCAAGGCACTGACTTGGGGCCTTGCATCTTGCCTGCCTCCATGCTACGACGTAGTCAAGCAATCGTCGCTCGAAATCTAAGTCTAAACTCGCTTACATCTTAATTTTGAACTCTTGCTCGCCGGAGAGGAGTGGTACACCCGCGATGAGGGTCAGATAGAAGCCGGTGTACTCGCGAAGGAGCTCGAGAAGAGGCTGCACAACTCCCACAATCATGTCCTGGGCACTGAAGTTGCGTTGTAAAGGTAAGTACGTGGATAGTGACGCGCACATGCATGGGACACTTACACTTCGCGGTCGTCCTGGGACACAGGCGCATGTTCTTCCTCCTCCTCGTCCTCCGCCGCATGCTCTGCTGCAAGCTCGGCCTTGAGCTCGGCGCAATACTCCTCCGTCTCCTTATTCAGGAGCTCGCGGGCGATCTTCGACCTCAGAGCGAGCGCGTCCGAAGCGTTGAGACCGGCATCGGGCCAACGCTCGTCGAAAACAGCCGCAATCTCGTCGGGCTTCTTTGACATGTATAGCTGCCAGAGAGAGCGTCCACGGGAGGGGGGCAGAGGGTTGGCTCTCTCGCGCAGTGTGGCAAGGAGAGGGGCCCACGGATTCTGATTGTCACGCAGGAAGACCATACGTCGGTAGCGCATGTGACAGCGAATTCGCTGTATACAAGCCATGTTAGTACGGTATTAGGGCGCGATAGTCACATACTACCTTCTGTGTCTGCTTTATGACCTGCCCCTTGGCGGCGAGCACATCAGGCAGCTCGGTGTTTGGCACAGACCAGTCGCAGTCCTCAGGTTCCTGGTCCAAGGGAAGGTGCCACGGCCAGTTCCTCCAGTAATCCGCAAATATTTGGTTCCAGAAGTCGTTTTGAGCCTTTCGATTGGCGTTTTTGAGCAAGACGAAGGTGGGTAGATGGCTTTGCAAAAGGATGGCGCAAGAGCCGTGGAAGAGACCAGGGTTGCCGGACTTGCCACCTTTCTTCTCTCGCTTGGCCCGGCGCCGCTGGTGCGTTTTCTTGGAGCTGCCGTAGATCGGGGCGAGGGAGCCAGCGGCGATGCCTTCCATGGCAGGAGAGAGAGAAAGGTTACGGCGCGTACGGCACGTCGACTTGGTGTGCCACTGCCAACCAAACCCCATCCACTCCCACCCTAAACGATGTGACCGGCGTGATGTCATGTCGCGCTCCCAAATCCGTCGAGTTGCCCCGCACTCACGCCGCTTCTCTCGACCACCCACCATCTCGCCTGTAACAAGATGGTGTCGATGAAGCACTGCGCGGAGTGGGACACCTTCGCCGCGTCCCTTGGCAAGACCCCAAGATACGACAAGCAGGGCCAAGTCATTCCGATCGGCAAAACGGAGGAGAATAGACCGCGCTACTACGTCGTGTGGCATGGCCGCGCCATAGGTATATTTTGCAACTGGTGTGCCCCGTTTGGAACTACAGCACAGAGCCTGCAGACTGACAAGTGCTCGCAGGGGCCTGACGCACAGCATGGTTACCGGGTTCAGCGGAGCCTGTCACAAGAAATTTATTACTCTAGAAGATGCTCGCAACGGCTGGCTCGAGGGACCTATCAGCCGCGTTATGGGCGACTGGAGGCCTCCCCATCCCCGTGATGCTCTGCCCACCCCGCCACGCCCTGCCCCTCGCGCGCAGAACTCGAACCATACCCATCCCGACGAGCAGAACCCTCTCCACGAGCAGCACCCACCCGACGAGGATGACGACAATTCCGCCGCCGCCGCATTTGAAGTCGACACCACTCCGAACATTGTGGAGCTCCGTCTGTCCGCTGCAGACACTGCAGGCCCCCCGAGCGACGACGACTCGGGGAGCGACGAGTACTTCGATGTCGACCATGTTGAGAAGGACGACCACCCTCCTCCCTCGCCTTCGCCTTCATCGGTGTCAAGTATGACGGCCACATCGCTGACATCGGGTACGATCACTCCAGGCACGATCGACACTCCTCAAATCTCCTCGGTGTCATTGGGTGCCACGCCGTCCATACGTGGTGCCTTGCTCAATACCCCGCGCAGCGCCGCCGCTCCCACTCTCCCCACACTATCTCGGAGCCTTTCCGGGGCGCGTTGCTGAACCACGCAACCCGCCACCCATCGAACGCGCTACCACCACGGTCCCCCAACCTGTTCGCCCCATTGCCCAGTCAGTTCAGACGACGGTGAGCTCTCGTGAGCCCCGCGCGACCTCGTCCGAGTTCCGGCCTCCGGTGGACACGGTGCTGGTCGATGCTAAGCGCAAGGACGTCTACGTTGTCGTCCATGGGGAATACCCCGGGGTTTATTTTGACTGGTAAGTCTTGATTGCACTAGAAGCAACATCAGCTGATACCTTGCCATAGGAACACTGCCATAATGATGCTCGGCACGAACCCCGGCATGAAGCTGGTGCGATTCCATTCCTTGAAGAAGGTGTCGTGGTATTTTGTCCAGGAGTACATGGCGAGGAACGTCAGGGTCCCTCTCGTGATTATCAACAATGAGGACAAGGACGATGACTAAGGGGGTCACGGTGCCCGTAGTTCCACTCTGTCCACAGGTAGCGGTAGTCTGTATGAATTGTGATGTCTCTCGTAACATGGCATTGACAGCGGTATTGAAAGTGTAGTAGTAAGCAAAACGTAACAGAGCGAGATAACTAAATGGGCAGACGGAAATCGTTGGGGATCTGATCAAGTTGGAACTCCACCCCAGCCATGACATAAAAAAGCTTGAAGGCGTCGACGGAAAGCTCCGCCCACATCGCTGTTGCCGCCTCGGGGTTGAGAAACATCATACCTCCACGCGCGATGAAACCCTGTATGTCGTCCAAAATCTTGTCCCCCTGCAGTATCCAGCACTCCACGCCGCTGATCCAGTCCGCGCGTGCGGATGGGACTCCGACAATGGCTTGCTGAATCTCGCTATTGAAGCGATGAATGAATGCGCGTGGGTCATTCGGATATCCCCAGGCATGAAGGGCAAAGTTGAGCTCCTGCAGCGAGTTACGCAGCTCCATATCGGGCGTAAGCGGAATACTCAGCGGGGGACGCGGGCGTGGCTCCGAGCTACACCAGAACGTCAGTCAGAATGTCCCCGCTCAACTAAGGTGCTGCGCACCGTTGTCCTCCCGCTGGCACTTGCGGAGCAGCGGCATTGGCCATGGCGAGCTGCTCGAGCGCGGAAACCTGAGGCGCGTTCGTAGCTGCCGTTTGGGCGGGTGTAGCGGCAGCGATGCCAGCGGGCCGTACACGCTCGCTGCATGCTTCGGGTGCGCTGCGTTCAGCGAGAAACAAAGAGTCCATAAGCAGGAAGGGACGCACACTCTGAGACACTCTTGATAGCGTTGATTGCGCGCTCGACGAAGCTGCTGGCGGCGAAGCTCCTCAGCTTCGTCTGCCTGGACTGGCGCAGAGTTCGGCACGGAGGGATACTCGTCCGACACCATCACGCTGACGATATGCGAATAGTGGGGGTGGCGGTTTCTTTTGAGGGGTTTAAGATGTGAAGGGAGCTTGTAGAATTATTTGAGGCATCCGCAACGCAGGGCGGGATGTCAGTGGGGTGAATGGTGGTTGAAGAAAGGTGTGCGCCCAGTTTGGCCAAGGGGTTTATCTTTGACGCCGGAGCGTCTTAAGACGCTACGCACTAGAATCTGATCAATGTAGGTCAGCGTAGGGCGCGTGGGCCTTCTCGCGTAAGTGTCTTAAGACGCATGCACTGTCTGCTATACGATTCCCGCCAGTGCCCAACTGCTTCAAACAATAAACTGACATCTCATGGAGTGTAACAAGATTGAACGTGCCTGTATAGTAGCTCTACTTGGGCTATGCTATGACCCCCTACGTGGTGAACTCACTCCACATACTTAGCATTTGTACACCCTTCTCCCAGCGTGAACGTCCATCTTCCCGAAGTTTCTTCTTTGCCGCCGCAGACAGTGATTTCACCAGTTGGAAACCGCACTTGACCCAACGGAACAGGCCGCCCGCCGAGTACTGAGTGAACGAGTATCGCCGCTCGTGCGACGCGAGCGGCATGTTTGAGTGCTGAATGAGGGTGGACGGGATCAGGATGGTCGAGCCCGGCGGGAACTCGATCACCATGCGTAGTTCCCAGAGGATAATGTGCCCGCTGCAGACGGGGTCAAAGTCGCCAACCGCTGTGATAGCACACCAGCCCCAGGGGAGATTTTGGATATTGGCGTGGACGTACGAGACAGTGCGTGGGCCCAGATTGAATGTCGTGTTGGCGAATACGTTATTGTTGAAGTTGCGACTCACTTTCTCCCTCATCGACCACTACCACTACCAAAGTCTTCAGGGCAAGATATCCATGTATGACTACTACACGTCTCTCGAGCGGATGATGGACAACACTGGGACACAGAAGATTCGCGATCGCTATAAGGTGTTTATGCGCGTTGTGGCCCAATGGCGACATTTGAAAATGCTGCAACGAGCTGGACGCGGACACCATCCAGACGGAGCGTGCGGGACAAAGCCTGGTGAGCTTGTGGTACGCTGTCCTGCCTGCCCGCATCCCGATATCAACCTGCCGCCTGATTGGGATCAGGTGTCCGACGAACTCAAGTCAGTCCTTATCTGTCTATCTGTCGGACGTTCACTGATGCATTGCAGGTATATGTACATGTTGACTGTTGCAATCGACGTTTGCTTTCGTCTCAAACGACGTGCGGTGTCCTCGGAAGAGAAGGATCCCATCCTCGGAAGCGGCTGGGCGTATTTTGTAGAGGATACCGGGTACAGGGAGGTGCTTCAAAACCACCAGAACGAAGACGAGGTTAGTCTATCGAATTGTATCTCACAGATGGTTTGACGTCTAACTAGCCTCATTAGATATCATCCTGTACCGGGTTTGCCGCGCTCGACCACGCTAACACAAAGTTCTCGCGTGGTTACACCGCAATTGGTGTGGGTGCGGTCGTCTGTGCTCGTCATGAGTTTTGGCTAGCCCTCGGCATTGGCGATCTGCAAAAGGGCGAGAGGTATGTGTATTTAGTCTTGTCCACACCGTCCAAATCCAGTGGCTCATGCATAGGCAGATACATCAACATGGACTACAATTTTGTGTGCGCTATGAAGGAGTATCTCATCGTCAACAAACTCATCAGCTACGACATAGCCTGCCAATGGTCGAAGTTGCTGCTCAAACACATTGCCAAGTTCCCCGACCACATTCAAATCAATGTCCCCGAGTGTTCCCTCTCGTACGCCATCCCGAAGCTCCATATACAGAGTCACATCCGAGAGGGACACTTGCCATATTCCCTCAACTACAGGAAGGGCATAGGGCGAACCGACGGCGAGGGTCCCGAGCGGCACTGGTGGGACATACAGCCCGCTGCTGCCAGCACGAAGGTCATGGGACCTGGGCAGCGTCAAGGTGTCCTCGAGGATTATTGGGGCTATGCAAACTGGCGGAAGAAGGTGGAATTACGTGAGTTTATTTATCCTTTCTACTCTAACGCGGCAACAGTGCACTGACGTCTTCGCGCTATAGCCTGGACTTTGTGCAATCGCCTCAAGAAGGCGTTGGGGAAGTACTCCGAGCACAGCGAGCTGCTCAGAGTATTGACGGGCACGTTGAAGGCCGCGCCGATTGATGAATGGGAGGCCGAAGTCGTGGAGTGGGAGGCGGACCCTTTTAATAGGGACGATCCCTACGTGGCAATGTCGTCTGGTAGGAGCTCACACCGTCAAAACACTCTGTTGAGTACTGATCAGTATTTGCAGGGCTCACGGAGGCGGAAACAGTGCAGGAGCTCACCTCAGAGGAACAACGCGCCAGCGCAGTCCCGGGTTATATCGCCCTTCACGACGTGAGCTTGCTCGGATTCATCACGACTGGCCTACAGATAGAAGAGCAGAAGTAAGTCCTCGGTTTCGCGCTCGCCTTAGCTTTCTCTGATGCAGGTCGCTCAACAGGATTCTTCTAAAAGCGGACGCCAAGAATGCGACACCGAGCAAACTACTGAGTGTCCACGAACACTGCAACGCGCTACGCTGGAAAATCCAGAAGTTTCGGGAGCTACAAGCAATCTACATGCCCCGCGCCATATCCCTACTTGCTCAAGACGCCGCGTATTCAACTGAGGTCGAAGCCGTCGAAGACATCCACATCGGCCTTCTGTCAGAAATGAACCCTCGACATCGCCACACCGTATGTTCGCCGCGCCTGCAAGAGATGGAGGCCCGCCTGCACAAAGCTCAATGCCACGACACCCTCGAAGATCTTCGCATCAAGTTGCACATCATCAACCACCTCTACCGATACAAGCAAACGAACGTCCGCCACCAGGGACCAAACACTCGCGTCCGCGGCGACCTCACATCCCAGGATGAGCGGAAGACTTGTGCGGTGGAGAAGTATCGGCGAGCGCGGCGTGCTAAGCTCGCGCTCTCGGGGCCCGGTGAATGGGAGACCAAGTACCACGTGCTCGAGGACTGGGACGTGCGAGGGCTAGAAGACGATGATCCAGATGCAGTGGCTAAACGGAAACGGAAACACGGAGACAAGGCTGGGCCCGCGGAGGGGCATCGTGTCCTCTTGTGGATCTGGCATGCGGCGGATGCGGGTAAAGATGGCCTTATGACGGATTCCTTGCGCGTCGAATGGCTGAAGGCTCGGGCACGAAAGATGCGGTGGGAGGAGGAAACGAAGATCCTCCAGGAGGAGATGCGGCGCGTTCTGGCCACCCTGGAGTACGAGGAGACCAAGTGGATGGCGTGTGGGGCGGCTCGGTTCACTACCGACAATTGTCTACGTGAAGGCCTGGCTGCATACGCAGCGAAGCAAGCCCATATCCGTCGTGCCATGCACACAACCTGCATCGTCGTTTGTCGCGACATGGTAACCGTCGCGCGAGGCGGCACTCCTCCAGACTGGGCAACCTTGCAGAATGCGGAGAACACCACCGAGGTTCTCAACAACCTGGACGCACCAACACTCGCAGAGATGTATCAACTCGATGGTGAAGACCTCGCACCTTTCGCAAACGCTTGACCCCCAGAAGCCTGCCTCCCTTGAACTCGGTCACTATTCAGGGGTTTCCCTGTGCCCGCCACCTCGTCGCTCGATTCCTCCTCGGACAACCCACCACTGCTCCCGCTCCCAGCGCTATGTATGCTCTCCCTCAGCATGTCCCTGACGTGTCTGCCCTTTCCATCTCATCTGTTTTCCTGTGTACGTGCTCTTCTTCATCTCCGGTTTCACGTCGACTAACCGCCGCCTTGCAGACTTCCTTGTAGCATTAGAGTGAATGTATACTGCTTACACTAACGGCTCACTCAACAAACAGCAGCAAGCCTGAGTCGAAAGTGGACTATCAGTCCTTCTGCTAGGTGAGTATCACGCGCGCGACGCGCAGACAATACACCCCGGCTCCTACAGAGATGTATCCTGGGCTACAATTGTATCGCATCCTGCGCAGTGCTCGCCCGCATGTCGCATTGTGCAGCGCCGAATGTGCGCGCAAATGCCAGCGTCGCGGACCGTGCGGGCGGACCCGCTAGAGCGTACTAGTAGGCATTGGGGGATGCATCGCGGTGTGGTGCGCGAGGCGAGATGGTCGGTAGTCTGAGGACGCGCCTCCACGGTGCTGCACTTGCAAGGAGATTTTGGAGTGCCCGCACATCAGGCGATGCGGGATAGGCAGGGCGCGCTACATTGAGACATGACAGGCCGGCTGTGCGATGCAGAACCTTCGGAGCGCCCGCGCAGCGGACGAGGGGCGAGGCGGTGCGTGCGGAATGCGATGCAGCATGGCGGGCTACAGTGAGATGGCGCAGGCGGGCTACGCAAGGCACACAGCGCGCGCACACTGTGCTGTCCGCGCACATATCGAACGAGGCGGGGTAGAAGCGCCGCGCGGCTTAGAACACGGCGGGCGGCACGGGGTGCGGCGCATGCTACATTACGGCGCGCAGGACGTGCTACACAAGGCATACAGGGCGCGCGCACAGTGCTGCCTGCGCGTGCATCGAACGGGGCGGGATAGGAGCGGCAGGCGGGATGGGGTGCGGCGGGCGGGATGGGGCGCGGCGCGCGCTACATTAGGGCGCACACGGCGTGCTACGCAAGGCGCATAGGGCGCGTGCAGTGCGGTCTCGTCCAGGAGGGGCAGGCATCAGATCAGTAGATCTGGCCAAAGTAGGTAGCACCGTGTATTGCCATTTGGGGGTGTGTACACCAGTAAGCAAGGAGGAGGAGCATACGCGAAGGCAAACTGCCGCATTGGGAAGGCGGCCGAGATGCTGGGGGAGGGCCTACAACCCCGCAGGCGGCTATACAAGCCCTCGTGATAGATCAGTACATAAACAGTTTATGATGTAAAACGTCTCAGGCAGGTAGTCAGTTTATGATGTATCACGGTTGCAACAGCTGGTGCGTACAGGGCAGGCGAGGGATAAGAGAGCAGTGCGCCGCCACTATTGTATGCATCGCGCGGGATCGTACTAGATGGTATGTAGACACCGGGCATACGAGACCGGAGCGCAAGCTTGACGGATATCACGAGCCAAATACAACAGCAAGGTCAGAGCTCAGGGCTCATAACCTGTCGAGAGGTCGACGAGAAAAGAGCGAGGAATATAATGATGATATTACGAGCAGAAGGCGACTAGTACTTATAGTAGAGAATAATAGAAATTTTCTAGTGTGCTAATAAGCACTTTGTAGTCAGTCAATGCCAAGCTATACGAAAAGAGTAAACCAGTAACTAAATGATCCTAGCTAAGTAAGAAAGGCCGTGTTTGTAATGTAAGCAGACTCGGAGGCGTCCTGCGGACGTGCTGCCAGGCCGCGCAACAAACGGCCTTCATGTTGTTGGATCCAGCAGGACGCAAGGTGTTTGGATGCTCGCACATGATGTCATAGAGACCCTTGTGGGTGAGCAGGGCTTCCATGGCGATGATCCATTCGCTGTGGTGTCAAAATTTGCGCCAGAGGGTGCTAGCCCATTCTCGCACCCATCTTGTGATACAGCATAGTCACCATTTTGCTGATGTACTGTACTACATCAACATTCATTGACAGTCATTGGCTGCAGCTGGAATTCCAGCACAGTACACTGACCACCAGAAACGTCCACCAGCATCCAGTGGACTCAGTCAAACAACAGTGAACTCCAACAACTGCCATTGGAGGCTGTTGGAATGGCAATGGTTTACAACATGCACCAGTGGAAACCAGAAAAAACCGGTGTCTAGCATCGGCATCCTTCGGATTCCACCAGATTCCATGGGAATACGGTGCACTTACCACCTCCGGGCATATTACTGCCAAGGAGCCAAGCCTCAAACAGCTAAACGAGCTGCTCCGGCCTCTGGTCGATGAGCTGCTGGCGCTTTGGAACCCTGGAATCTATCTGCTGAAGACAGCGATGAAGCCAGTGGGTCGCGTCATACGTGCGGCGTTGATACCTCTGGTCTGTGATCTCCCCATGCTCCACAAAACAGCTGGCTTTGCCTCGCATTCCTCCCGGCATTTCTGTTCCTTCTGTCCGCTCACTCTCGACGAGATCAACAATGTCGAGCGCTCTGCCTGGCCCCGGCCTCACACCTGGTCAACACATCTCAACATTGCACAGCAGTGGAAGGAAGCACCAACCGAGGGGGCCCGCAATAGCGTCTTCGCCGATCACAGAATCCGGTGGTTGGAGCTCCTCCGTCTACCCTATTGGGATCCTACGTGCTTCACAGTGCTTGATGTCATGCACAACTTGTTCCTCGGCAAAGTCCATCATCACTGTAGGCGTTTATGGGGTGTCAATGTAGCACAAGATAAACAGCCCACCGCTTTGAAGGCCACAGAACATACACCTGTGCAGCAACAAGCATACCTAGACAAAGTATTCGCTGTGACGTGTGTGGGGTCGCAGAAGACACTCGCCAACATACGCAAGGACTAAACCTCCGCAGTGGGGCGGTTCAATAACATCCTCGGTCAGACAAGCTCGGAGCTTACTAGGCTGGAGATAGCATCTGCGCTGCTCAACTGAGTGAGTGCCAGTTCTGCGCACACATACTAGTAACTGACTCCTCTTGACGACGACAGCATAGGCTAAGAAGAATGGTGCAGCAAACCTTCGCCTACCGCCTGTGTTGAACGTCCCCACCGCCAGGTTTCATCTCCCTGCCAACAACATGCCACGAGAAAATTTGTGGTACAATATCTTCTCCAAGGATGTGCTCGAGAAGGTGCGGTCGGACATCGTGTCCACCATATTCCCAAGCTGGCTAGAGAAACCCCCGTCCGACTTCGGCAGTCCCGCTCATGGCAAGCTCAAAGCAGATCACTGGTGCACGGTAGCTACTGTCAATCTAGTGATTACCCTTGTATGTCTTTGGAGCTCCTCAGGCGCGTCCCCCAAGGAGAAAGCCGTGCTTGAGAACTTTGTCCATCTTGTCTCCGCAGTCGGGCTGGCTAGTCAATGGTCCATGACCAATCAGCGCGCCGCACTGTATGACCATCACATGGAAGCATATCTTTGCGGGTTACTCTCTCTACGACCACAAGCTTGTTCCAAACCACCATCTATCTCTTCATCTCCGCCCTCTATTGGAAGTGTTCGGGCCTGTTCACGGATGGTGGGCATTCCCTTTTGAACGTTACAACAGGACCCTCCAGCACATGAGTACCAATTCCAGGGCAGGTGAGTGTCCTTCCTCTTCCCTGCTAATCATTGCCTGACTTGCGCTGTAGAGGACATGCCCGGAACCTTCATGCGGTGCTGGTACATTGGCACGAACCTCCGCTGGCTCATGCAATCAATGGAGTGGCCAAAAGATCCGATATTTGCCAACATGGTGAGGATGTATGATACTGCGTTCCGCGATCGTGTACGGGGAACATGTGTCACCGACATCCTTCACGCCCTTGACAACCGCACTGCCAGCTCCCCATGCGTGACATGGCGCGACCTCGGCCTCCTCTCACCTCCACTTCCATAGCTCTGCATACCGGGCCTGGTGATTGAAGTCATGCAGGGGGAAGGCCTTTTCTCGCAGCTCCCGCACGTCGAAAGATACCGTGGATTGCGCAGCGCGACGGGCCCTCTGACTGCGCTCCTCGATGGCGGTGCGCGTGCTCCTGCTCGGTGATGACGTGCTCCCTAGCTCGTCGCCTGTTGCCCATCGTTCCCTGTACCTCACGTACCCGTCTGCCGGCTCCCCACCAGCGTTGAGCTCCTCTGCTTTGGGGCTCTCGCACGATGCCCCACTGCTGAACTCGCCCACGCCCACGCCGCACACATCGACGCACCGGAGTCCGCCACACACGCACGTGATGGACGCTGTCGCAGGCTTCGAGGACAGGCGAGGGTTCTGTGGGGAACTGATGCAGGACATACGAGGAGGCTGTGTCCTGCGGGCACCCTATGCGGGCAAGAGGTGCCCCCGTGAGGTGTACCTCTGGGGCACCAGTAGCGCAGGTGCACCCTCCGCAGTGCGACGGGCTCTCTGGCATGGATATGCGCCATTGTGACGCTCGGCTACAGCAAGCCATCACAAATGCTCCCTGATTGTCAGTGCGTCTCGTGCTCCCACTCGGCGATGACACGCTCCCCCCTCCCCCTCTCTCCTTCGCGTGCTCGTCCGCTGACACCCTGCCAGCGCCCAGATCCCCCGTGTCGGTGCTCTTGCACGACACCCCGACGCTGAGCCCGCGCACACGCCCGCCTGCCTCTCTCGTACTTGCTCGGCAATGACGCGCTCCGCCCACCCCTCACGTACTTGTCCGGCAGCCACTTGCCCGCCCTCCACGCCTCCGCCTCCCGTGTCAGTGCTCCTGCACGACACTCCATCACTGAGCCCGCACACGCACTGCACATGCCCGCCCCTTGCACACTTGTTTGGCGACAACATGCTCGCCCTCAGCACCTCCGCCTCAGGAGCCTTGCGCCCCGCCCCGCCTCTGAACCAGCACCCCCCCCCCCCACGCGTACCCGCTCAGTGGCCACTCGCCAGTGCTCAACAACTCCGCCTCGGGAACCTTGCCCCTCGCCTCACCGCCTAACCCGCACACACGTGCGCGAAGCATCTCGACGCTGCGCATGCACGCGGGCAAAGAGGCCAACAAGCCCGATGCACTCACAGGTGCCCCGCGAGACATCCCTCGGGTGCGCCGGTAGCGCAGACGCGCCCTTCAAAGCGCGGCGGGCTCTCTGGCGCGGGTATGCGCTCCCACGACGCGCTGAGGAGCTGCCGCGGCGCGCAGAGGTGCGTCTGGGAGCGGTGTGGCGTGCTATGGTGCGCTCGGGAGCTCCCAGCAGCTCCCAGCAGCTCCGAGGCGCGCTCAGGAGCTCTGAGGTGCACCAAGGAGCTCCGAGCAGCTCCTCGACGCAATTATTACACTTTGATATTTTAAATACCACGCGCATGTCAGTAGAATATCATGCCTTATGATATTTTGAATACCTTTTGCACCCAGATAAGCTTATGATATTCAAAGTGTCAGAAGCATATCATGCCTTGTGCATTGTTCCCGATATATAGAATATCAGGCCCGTTCCGATTGTCCCGGAATTTATTGTGACAATGCCATTTCACTCTGCCCGCCACATTGTATATTCAAAGGCTATCATACTGACCGACATGTTCATGATACGCTAAGTTTCGGCGCTGTTTCGCGTGCCAGGGATTACAATGTTCATTGTAACACGACATTTGTACTATTCCGGTGTAAAGAATCCATATGACTCCTTTAATGCCTTACAGATTTCATACGCGATCCCCTTGGGCCGGCACGGTCGCGTCATTTAAAATTCCTTCACTGTTTCGTGCTCAAGGACTGTTCTTTATGTCTGGTATCCCAATATCTAACGGACGTACAAAATTACTAGGCCTTTGGTAGCGAGTCAGAAATCTTGAGGCCAGTTATAATTTGCTTCAAGTTCATGAACTGTATCAGGGGTCCTGATATCGTCCGATGTTTGCCGTGATATGCACGCGAGGTCGCACGAGGCGGGGAGGGTACGCGCGGTGGCGCGAGGCGTTGGAGTCTACATGCGCGCAAATACATCAGCAAAGTGGGTGTCCTTTCTCGGTAACTCTTCGTAATGCTGCGTCATTAGTGTCGTGCTATATAATTCATAGAGCTCTACTCAATGACGTGTAGGAGCCATGAAAGTCTGGAGAGTGGGCGGCACGACGTGTAACTCTTGTCGGATATCGCTGACGCTAGAATACGAGACAGACAGACTCAGTCTCCGTACACGGTGGTGATAGAAGAGCTGTATTAGTTTACCTAGAATACGAGACAGACAGACTACGTATGGTTGTCAGTACTGTAGACTAGGTGAATGGGAACGTATAGAACTGACCTCAGTCTCCGTACACGGTGGTGATAGAAGAGCTGAGGGAGCGAAGGCAAAAGACGAGCAGGAAAAGACTGCGATGCTTATGTAATCGTAATAGGCGCGCACGCGCCGTACCGTACGAAACATCCTTCTACTCGATGGACCTATACGTCCTACAACATTAACGACGCAGAACCTCGCGCATGAGTCTCGATCATGCTGGGTCACCCGGCGCAAGACTCTAGAGAGCTATCGAGAGCCCTGCACGAGGCTCCCTAGAGCGACCGATAATGTCGCGCGCGGTGAGGTAGCACGCCGCATGAGCGCGCGCCGTGATATCCGTAGCTCCATAGAGCGCCGCAGACCCCCGCACACCGTAACATGGAACCCCGTGCCCCCTCCAATTTTCGGCCATTCTCGCGAGCGGGACGTGCGCACGAGAGGCGAGACATTCTATTAGACAGTAGTACACTGTTCATCTATACATCGCAGCATACCCGGATGGCCGCGGGCAGACACAGGCCGTAGACACAAGGGAATTTCGAAAGCAAGGGACGCGTCAGAGGGGATCAGAGAGAAGAGCGAAACAGCGCGCGAGGACAGAGATGTTGCATCAGGACAGAGACGTTGTACGAGAACAGAAGCCGCGCGAGGACCGGAGCTGCGCCCGAGGACAAGAGCCATGCGCGAGGACAGCCTGAGGGGCCGTGCACAAGGACAGGGGCCGCGCGCGAGGTGGTGGACGAAGATGGATTGCAGAGGAGCCGTGTGCCGTCAGGGAGCCGGGGATGTCCTCCTGTCAGTGAACAAGAGCGAAACATGAGCGTGCTGAAAACAGTGTGGGACGTATGGACGTACGGTCTATGTGGGCGAGCGGCGCGGCGGTGTATGAGCGGCGGAGGCGGCAGCAGTGGCGGCTGCAGCGGCCTTTTCGGCCTTCTCTTGAGCGATCTCGAGCATCAAGCGGTCGTGCGTGGATGGTCCGTTAGTAGCGCGGCGGCTGGCGCGGCTGTCCTTGTTGCCAAACAGCTCCCTGGCGGGGTCATCAAAATATAGGTCATAGACAACAAACCATGCAGTACTCACTGGCTCCACCATTCAACAAGCTTGTCGTGCCAATCATCATCTTCCAGGAACGCTGTCATGACGAGCGTGTTGAATTCCTGACCGATGAAGTCACCGTCATCGTTGTCCCACTGTGTCCGAGCATTGATAGCGAAGCGAGTCTGCAGAGGATCAGCACGGCGAGCTTCGAGGGCGCTGATACAGAGAAGCATACAAGGACTGCGATGTAGATAATCACAAAAGTGCTGATCTTGTAGATATTGTTCTTGGTTGCGAGCGCCACCTTACCCTTCTTCTTGCTCTTCCTTCGCCACCGTCGGACCTTGAAAGACAAGCCTGGCAGACTGTAGGGACAATGAGTGACAGGCAGAGAAGATAGTGTACTTGCCCTTACATTCAGGAGAGCCTGGCTCTTGAAGAGGCCAGGCTTTGACTTCCCGGCAACATAGAGGTCCATGTCGTAAAAGAGCACGGGGTAATCCCCGCTTCCGACGACAGGACCGGTCTTGACGCCGTCACGGACGTCCCGACAGAACCTGGATAACATTAGTGCATAGGGACCAGGGCAGTGGCTACGGGCGTACTTGTACGGGTCTTTGTCAAAGTGGTCGAGCATTGTGACAGGGCAGAGAAGCCTGCCTGTTTCTGGAGTGCTGAACCCACGCTGGGCCTTGTCCTCGACTTCCTCGGACAGACCCAAGATTGCGCGGATGTTGTCCTTGAGCCGATTGGCGTCGTCGCTCCGGGCCTTGCCGGCAGTAGCCTTCATCTGGCGGCATATATGCGTGAGTATATGCGCAAATATAGTGTGGTGTCACTCACCCATTTAGCCATGTTGTTGACAAGCTCCGGGTGGCGACGTAGGTAAGGCATATGGAACTCGAGGCCTGGGAACTCGGACTTGATGAGATCGAAGTAGCAGATGCCTTCCCAGTACCGGCTCCAGACGCTAGTACAGCCAATAGCAGGTCAGTGTAGGCGCATATATAGGCAGACAACTGAGACTCACAGAGGTGATTGTTGCTCCGGGTCGTCGGGCGAATACGTGCCGTCCTTCGCGAGGCCGTCAGTGAGCACCTGGTAGTACCCTACAAAGCAGCCAATCTCGCGCGGGAATAGCCGCATGATGTTGTACATAAACTCTGTACCATCGGCGATGCGTTGGGGTTTCCTACAGGGGTATCAGTGCGCATATAGTCATTGCGGAGGAAGGTTGCGTACGTTGAGCCGAGTACCAGGTGCTCATAAAGATGCACAACGTGTGCGTCGAACTGAACTACAGGCTTCCCTGCTGACTTTGACTTCTTCCTGGGCCGACGCTCTGCAGCGTTGTCTTCTTCAGCCGATTGGGTTCCGTCGTTGCGAGATCTTGTGCTCTGGTGAGCCTGTGCATCCCGAGAGCTTCCTGAGGCTTGACGAGGCGGAGAGTGGGGTTCAGGGGATGGCGACGAGGCAGGTGGTGGGAGAAGGCGAAGCGGCGGTGGAGGTAGAGGCGATGGTGCGCGTGCTGGTGGAGAGGAGGAAGGTAGAGAAGATGGTGGGTTCATGGGCAAGTGGTGCTCGGTGCGAGATCCTTTCCTGCGCTGTACGCGCATGAGTCCGACAAATCCTCTGGTCATGGCGATGATGGGGTTAAAGGACAAGCCGTGCGATGAGGGGAGGCAGGCAAGAACGCATTTTTATACTGTCCCGATCTGGAAGAGAAGCCGGGCCAGAGTCAAGGAGCAGTGAGATGCTTAGGCGCTCGAGACGCGACGTGTTGCTCAGAAACATCATGTGATCGCTTTCCCCGCACCGACGAGTCCTGCGCATCGCGACGTGCCTCTCTCTGAATTGCTCTTTCACTTGCACGACCCTCTGCTTATACATAATGCTCTTCTGTGACGCTCCTGGATGTGATTTTACCTCACCAACCGACAATGGTCTAGGGATTCACAGCAAGACTTGCACACTGAGGATCACTGGGATGGTCGAAGCCTTCGTAAAACGCGCGTGCGACGAGGAGGAAAAGGAGGAACGTGCTCGAAAACGGGTACGGCTTGAGGGCATGAATAGTGTCAATGATGCGCCGGTGCGCTACCATTTTTATCTCTGTTTTGCATATCTTATGTGTATTTTCAGGTATCCAGACATCCGAGCCCTGCTCCCATTCACACTACTCGTCGGAGCGGGCGTATCCTCCGTGTGCCCAAACTACTGGATGATTTTGTGCCAACAAACCTACAAGACCTCCCCCCTCATGTAGCTCAAGGTTTTGCAGAAGCTGCAGTGCCATCTCCACCACGCTCGCGGTATGTCTCCCCGACTGTCAAAGACGCTGAAGAAGAACCGCTCCCCCTCCCGGATCTCTTCCGCACCCCGCCAAACTTCTTCGGTCTCTACCGAGAGTACACCGTCGCACCGCAGCAGGACCCGGAGGCGCACGCAAGCCTTGCCACAAGGTGCGACACCCCAACCCTTGCCAAGGAAGCTGTAGAGCCGCCGGCACAGACATACAAGAGTATCTACTGGCTGACACGCCACTCGGCACTCGCCATTCCCCCTGTTGACGCCGTCGGGACCGCTGAGCCAGCTAAGCCTGCCAACCCAGCCGATCCTGCTGGGAATGTGCCCCCTGCTTCCTCGAACGTCGGCCCTTTTCCAAACAAATCCCAGTTCCGGATTTACGATTGGTTCTACAATGCCTCTCTCACCAAATCGAAGGAAGACCTCGACGACCTCATCGATGCCGTCACATCGGAAGGATTCTCAGCCGACGACCTCAAGGGTTTCCGCGCGGAAATGGCGCAGAAGATACTCGACGAGTACTGTACCTGCCCGACCAATCCGGCAGGGGGTTTGGGGTGTGACCGCGGGTCCCGAAGCGGCGCGACCACAAAAAGCGGCGCGCCCGGCCGCGACTGTGACCATCCGTACCACAAAGCGGCGCGGTAGCCCCGCAGGGCCGCCGGCGGAACGATTTTGGGGTGTGACCGACCGCAAAAATACGGCCTGGAGCGGCGGGACCCGCTGTGACCCGGGACAACTGCCGAAATGCGGGGCGGCGGGGGCCCTTGTGACCTGTGACCCGCCGGATTGGTCGGGCAGGTACAGTACGTCCATCCACAGGGCATCTTCTCCGCAGAGGACGGTTGGACAGAGGGCTCAGTCGAGATCCCACTACCCAAGACAGGCGTTAAGTATGTATCCGAGGATGTGGCCCCCAGATTCAAAGTCGACGGGATCTATCATCGCCGCCTCATACCACTCGTCCGAGCGGCAGCGGAGGACACTCGCTTCGCAGAGCAGTACCACTGGATCCCTCACAAGCTGTTCTGGACACCCCGCACTGACGGCGCAGCCCCTCCCCACGGTGTGAATCCCATTCGCATTATCACTGATACGTACAATGCGGACGTGATGAACAACGAGTTCGAGAAGATTCAAACGCGACCGCGCAACTCTACTGATGCTGCGGATGTCGAATATGTCATAGCCGCGATTCTGCTGTGGTCGGACATGACCCATCTCACCAGCTTCGGGTCAGCGGCACTCTGGCCAATCTACATGTATCTCGGAAACCTCTCGAAGTATATCCGCGGGATGCCGACCGAGTTCGCAGCACATCATCTCGCATATATCCCATCAGTGAGTACTTTGTGCGCCTGAATTACAATGCCCTGCTCACGTGAAGTTTAAGCTCCCGGACGAACTGCGCGACTACTACAAAGAGCACTACAAGACGTCTCCCTCGGCCGACGTCCTCACGTTCTGCAAGCGTGAGCTTATGCAGCGTATTTGGCTGCTGCTACTCGACGATGAGTTCATGGACGCCTACAAGAATGGCATTCTGGTCGTCTGCGGCGATGGAGTGACCCGGCGCATTTTTCCACGCATCTTCTCATACTCAGCTGACTATCCTGAGAAGTATGTCTCTCATGGCAGAGTCATGAGCTTGATCCTGACTGTATCTCATGCACCTTTGCAGGATCCTGCTGACTGCCTTGAAGCCCCTCTCGAAACATCCCTGCCCCCGCTGTCTTGTCTCCCACAACAACCTCTGTGATGCCGGAACCCCCGAGGACATGCTGCGGCGGTCTGCTGACAAGCGCAAGGATAGTAAGAAGGTTCGAAAACAAATAAAGCGCGCACGTAAACAGGTCTTCGAGAAGGGACGCTCGCTGAAGAGCGAGAAGCTGAAGGCTCTCCTGGACTATCAGTCCCTTAACCCCATACAGGTAAGTGTCATTGTCCTATCTTGTGGGCTAACTGATCACGCTGACATCTCTCAACGAACATTCCGCGTTCTCTGTGCATCTTGGGGACCTCGGGGTGAATGCATACGAGCTGTTTGTCCCCGACTTGATGCACGAGGTTGAGCTCGGGATCTGGAAGGGGACATTCACCCATCTGTTACGGCTATTGGCCGCCCAAGGCGACAATGTGGTGCAAGATTTTAACAGAAGGTGCGTACATATTTAATTTCCACATTGCCAATGCTGATGCGGGCCTTCGTAGGATGCATGCGATGCCAACCTTTGGTCAAGACAAGATCCGCCGATTTTGGAAGGACATGAGCTCGCGCAAGCAGATTGCCACGCGGGACTATGAGGACTTCTTGATAGTAAGTCGTGCTTGCTCCCGTTTATTTATGTGCACTAATCAGCACGTTTAGGTCATGATACCTGCTTTTGAAGGGCTCCTCCCGCTACGTGATGATCAAACCGTCGCTGACCTACTCTTTGAGCTCGCAAACTGGCATGCCCTCGCCAAGCTGAGACTACACACCGCCGTTACGATCAAAATCCTCCGCGCCGCAACGACGCATATGACAGACGCAATGCGGCACTTCGCGGCAACGACCTGCGAGCGATGGGAGACGCACGAGCCTTCTAGGGAAGTTGATGCCCGTGTGCGCCGTAAGGAGAAGTGCGGTCGCAATGTACCGCCTGAAGCCCGTGAACGCCTCACGGTGCACTACAACACGCTGAACACCTTCAAGTTCCACGGTGTCCCGGATTACCCCGATGTGATCGAGATGACTGGCCCAAGTGACACCGGGAGCACGCAAGTAGTAAGTGCACCAAATGTTCGCCAGTTTCCTATACTAATAAATGTTCAGGGTGAACTCAAACATCGTCACGTCAAGAGATTCTATGCACACACAAATAAAATCGGCTACGAGCTTCAGATCGCCAAGCATCTACGCCGCGCGGCGCTCATGCGTGCGATTCGGAAGCTTGACGACTATGTCCCACGCCGTGAACGTCTGAGGCAAGACCGCCTTGCTTGTATGGCCCCTCCGTCCACATTGCCACATCCAGAGCCTAGTGGACACGACACAGACAGTCGCCCAGATTCGCCACTCCCACCAACTGACCCTCTCAATCATTATGCCATCTCGAACACCTCGCGCCTGGCGCTTGGCATGCGCAATTGGATCTCCAGGAATCGGGATGATCCGGCTGCAGATGTAAGTTGTGCGAGCTGTGCCTTGTCCCGCTACTGACATTCCCGCATAGAATTTCATTCCTCTTCTCCGCGCGCACCTTCTGGGTCGACTCCTCGACTTGCCGCATGGGGAAGGCGGAGAACCTGGCACGTTCACTGATGCGCAGCTCGACCGCATCGAAGTGCAGAATGACCGCATCTATCGCCACAAGGTTCTGCGTGTCAACTACATGACATACGACATCCGGCGTGATCAAGACGTCATCAAACCGACCACCCACCCCGACATCATGCTGCTTGCTGACGATCCCCTCTCCGCCCATCCATTCTGGTACGCTCGGGTCATAGACATATTTCACGCTAATGTACACTACACTGGTGCGGGAGCAACTCGTCTCATGCGCGAGGGCGTACACATGGATTTCCTCTGGGTGCGATGGTACTGCTTGGACAATGACACCCCGTTCGGCTTCCCAGAAGCATGCCTACCACGCCTCTCCTTCGTGGACGCCAACGACCTGGATACACACCCGTTCGGATTCGTGAACCCATCCGATGTCATCCGCGGGGCTTATCTGCTGCCTGCGTTCCACCACGGCTTCACCGACGCGCTCCTGCGGCATTCACCCTTGGCTCGGCACACCTCCGAAAATGACGAAGATTATCGTTATTATTACGCCTGCATGTAAGTACCCCTTGCCGAATCTACGGTAGCATTCAAGTTGTCTATAACTAATCACAATATACAGGTTCGTCGACCGGGATATGTACATGCGGTACCTTGGCGGTGGCGTTGGACATCGCGCCACATGGCAAGACGTCAAGTACTCGGAGTTGAACGCGCTGCGGACACGCGCTCTGATGGCCTTGGAGGCAGACTCGTCTGAATCCGCAGACAGTCAGCGTGACGCGCAATCCATGGCCGACCCGTCATCCCCGCGCGAGCTTCCAGACGACCCATCATCTCCGCGCGACCCGTTGCCCAGTGAGCGCGATATGCGTGCAGCTGCTAGATGAACACGCGAGCGCCGCGATCGCATGGTTGACGACAACGAGGGTTTGCTCGAAGGCTTGGCAAACGAGGACACTGTTGACGAAGACGAAGACACAGACGAGGATACCTCGGATGAAGACACCGTAGACGAAGACGAAGAGGACGAGATCGAGGAGGACGTCGTGGAGGCAGATGAGGATGAAGAGGACGAGGCGGATGAGGCGGACGAGGACGAGGACGAGTACTATGAGGATGGTGAGTTCGTAGATGAGGATGCGGAGGGCGACGATGCACCCGAAGACGACGATTACTATCCCGACCTCGTCTTCGCGGCTGAGGGGTTTGCACCCTTGTAGGTTGGCGGGTACTCGAGTCACTCGACTGGGCTTTGGACAGGGCGGTCGCGCGGACTCATATCTATTGCTTTTCAGCGTATATATGTTATGCTACATAGTGCTGCATACATTGGCGGCGTGTGATTCTCGTACATGGCATTCTACATGATCATGGTCTCGCGCGACCATGTTCTCGAGAGTCAGCGGCGCGCGACCAATGCCGCGGGCGCTACGCATAGCGACGCAGAAAGCGAGTGTCGCGCGGCCATCTGACGCGTACCTCCACGTCATCCGTGTCGTTCCTCGTCGTGCTGGAGAAAACCTGCACGTTTGCTGATGTAGACGCCGGCGGCGGACCTCAGCCACAGCGGTTGCCGAATACCGGGACAAACCGACTGGGACATTGACGTCTCGTAGATCTTGCATGGACAGATGCAGAATTGAAGACAGGGTTTGAAAATTTGACAGACCCCGCGTCCCCATTTTGCAAAATTACGGGAAAAGGGGCTTTGTAGACCCTGTAATGGTACGAGGTGAGACTCAAAACCGACAGGGGGGCTGGAGACGCATGGACAGATGCAAAATCGTAAACGGGGTCTGACAGACCCCGCGTCCCCATTTTGCAAAATTACGTAGGAATTAACGCCGGTTCTCGGCCCCGAGATGCAAAATCGTAAACGGGGTCTGACAGACCCCGCGTCCCCATTTTGCAAAATTACGTAGGAATTAACGCCGGTTCTTGGCCCCGAACAACGAATTAGGGAGGAAAAGAAAAGCCCGAGCTATAAAGATGGGAAAGGGGGTCTGAATGACCCTGTCCCCCGATTTTGCGAAATGATACCGGGGTGAAATTTCGAATTACAAAGCTGACAACAGGGACAGGAGACGGATGTATAAATGCAACAGGATGAACGGGGTCTGACCGGCCCCCTGTCCCGGTTTTACGAAGGGCAGGATAGTTCTCCATCCCGAATAACGAATCAGGGCAACGGGAACGGGAACGGGGGTCTGAAAGACCCCGTTTCTCGATTTTGCGAAATAGCAGGGCCCCATGTGGGAAGGATCGACGCCTGTATGAGATGTTCAGAACACCTAAAAGGTGCACACCTCTATTCACCGTCTGTTTGAGCAGCTGTTCCGCACACATATAAAATATCCATTTTTAACAGTGTTCTCCACAGCCCCGGCACAAAAAACTGTTCCGAACAGCTGCTCTCACTACACATGTTGGATTATGGTATACGCACGAACGGATGGTCCTTTCAAGCCGATATCGCATTGCCATCAGCGTCAAGCCCATGCGCGCATTCTCTTTGATAACTACCGAGTCCCTCGTCGTCCTCTACGCGCGCTCCCCGCACTCCTACAATGCAAACCAAGTCTCGAAGAATTCGGGACACACCTACCCTGCGTCCTCGCGCGTCCCCACGGAGACGTCGAACTCCTAAAATGCGCGCACGCGCACGGAAGCGTTGGGTAACGGTGGGATGTGCTTCTAAGACGTTGTAAGCCAAGTGACGCCGAGGGAGGAGACGTGAGTGAAGTGGCACGTAGACGCTTTTGGAGGTGCTCTCCCCGATGCAATGAAGTGGCAGAGCCCAGCGCGGATATTTTCTGCTCTGATCGTGTCGATACGTGAAAGTGTAGGCCCCGTGATGCAATAGAGTGTGGCGGCGTGTTGATGGTGCCGGACAGTGCGGCGTTGAGGTGCGAAGAGGGCGCCTTTTCGACGGTTGGGCTTCTAAGCGTACACAGGCGTGCGTGCGCCAAATCGTATCGTCACTGCAGTTGGGGATGGGCCCAGGCTCCTACTCACCCGTCTGCTTCGAGGGAGGGGGCGAAGTCAAGTAGCGTAGACAATGTAAATCCGACATGCCCACACGAGCGCCTGCCCACATAAATCCATCACGTGCACATATCCCAACCTTATTTCCCCCTCCCTCTCAGCAGCGGCTGGCACCAAACATGAGTAAACAACGGGGCTCGGGCAGAAGGCGCGCGCCGATCCCCCCTATTTGGAAGGGGGCGGCCGCGGGCGCTCTCAATTAAGATATTTGCTTAACGCCGTCGATCCCTACGTCGATCCCACTTGATTACTCGGCTCTCGCGCATACGCCGCTATGTCTACTACATCGAATCGATCTACCCTGCTTCAAAACGTACTATCACACCTACAGTCTGTGAATGTCACCCTCTCCGAGCTGCTAAGCTTCGTGGTGGTCCATAATCAGTTCAATCGCCCAAACGACATACTCTTCCAAGACCTCGTTGCCAATACCCGAGTTATCCACGCCGCTCTGTATCACAACTCCGCGACGGCGTCGTCAAGTTTGGCATGGGCCCAGGACATCACGCGTGCGCATCACTCCGGCGCCGTCTCCCAACTGACCAGTGTGTCGCATGGGTGGCATTTCGGGGCGATGCAAGCAGATCCGATGCAGATTCAAGACTTCCAGCTGGACGATATGGCCGATGATCTCGAGAGGAGCGCTCCGGACCTCTGGGCCCTCGTGATTGGCTTGCTAGGAGGCCAGACACAGGCGGAGCCGGCACGTCCTGCCGCGCACCCCGCCGCGCAGTCGGGAGGAAGAGCGCCGTTTTGGGATGACCCGGAGGACGATGAGTATTGGGATGGGGATGATGCACTCGATGTCGCAGGTGGCGGACAGCCGCCGAGCAGGCCGGTCAATGACGTTGATAAACGGCGGAGAAGGCGCGGCCTGTTGTCTCGGGTGGTGAGCCTCCGTGCTCCCTTGCCATCATTGTAGACCAATGTATTTAGGCTTCCTTTATAGAAAGCTGTGGTAATAATTAGTATCCTGATGCACAGTCGAGACCAGCGCTGCAACGCCTTACAATGCCTTACCGGGATTTTCCTGCACTCTTGCGGTGCCCCCGAGAAGCTAGTCAAGGTCCTCTCACGAATGGGAATCTCCATCGCACTCTCGTCCATTCACCGCGCCATCAAATCACTGACTGAGCACGGCTCGGAAGACGTGCGAGTCTTGGCGCAGACACTCCGCGCGTCGTATGCTTTCGACAATCTCGATTTCAAGGTACCTTCGGGGATCCCCACGGTGGAGAAGCCGTCAGATGGTCTGATACACATCGCCACCGGGACCCTCCTCCGCCTCGAGCATGGCGTCCAGCGGGAGGACCTGAGGTGTTCTGCCAAGCTATGGGACCGAAATCCATCAAATCCCCAGGCTAGCGACCCGCGTCCGTATAACCCCCGCGCTACAATGCGCCATCTATTCACACTCCATCCCGAACCGGATGTCGCGGAAGGAGGCTTGAGCCGGCGAGGTCGATTCCGGGCGTGGTTCGTCGCGCGCACTCTGATGACGCACGGTCCTGCTCCATTCGCATACTATCGTAGTCAACTCAGTGACCCCGAGCCAATCGAGACGATCCCTGTTGTGAAGCTGCATCAGAAGCCACTTGGCGCGATGGATATCAGTCTGTCTACGATATCCGGAAACCTCGAGGCACTCGGTTCAATGTACGCGCAGGGAGGGGTGGGCGACCCGCACAAAGATCCTGCTATGCCCGACGAGACGATCGAGGACCTCGCGGAATACGTCACCCTCATCCATGGCGACTTGGGCACTTACGAGAAGGTCCTGTCCGCGTTGCGTCGTCGGATCCAGGAAAGGACGCCGTATGATCGTCTTCAGGCCGTCGTGTTTGTCTTGGGTCTATTCCACCTGAAGATGGCGTCCGCCGATGCGATTTGGCGCATCCTAGTCACCCCTGAGGGCGCGCGCGTGGACAATACGAGCTTCATCAAACTCGTCGGGCAGCTGCGGCCTGACGCGTCCTCGCGGCTCACTTCGAACGCGAAATATCGCGACCGGCATGATTTGATCGCGCACGTTGCAGCGATGCTGATTCTCGATGCGTGGGGTGTCGAGGTCAAGAGACGGTGGGGATACGAGACACTGGACGCGTGGGCGGAGACGAAGCCTAGCTTGGCGAATATCGAGGAGGTCGCCGAGTGTATCGCACTCCAGTATATCGAAGGAGACGGGCAGGATCTCTACGGGAAACAAGAGGAGGCAGCGGGTCAGCGCGACAAGGTCAGGGAGAACACTCTGCGTACCTTGAACTACCTCCTGCTCTACGAGGAGCTCTCCTACGCTATGAACGCGGGCTGCATCGGGCGCGTGGAGACACTCTTCCCTAGCTGGATTCAAATATTCAGAGCTGTGGGAAAACATAAGTATGCAAACCATATGTTGCGCTTTATGCACGCGCTGTACTTCGTGTATCCTGAGGAGCTGCGGTGAGTGTCTGTTGTACCGGATGTATGACATATAGTGATCGTGATTACAGACGAGCTGTCAGGTACAACATCCTTGTCAATCCTACCGGTAAACCGCATGCTTTCCGTGCTGTAGATTGGGTAGTTGAACTGCTGAACTTGTTTACAAAAGTAAGCTGCTAGAAAACAATCAATTCAGCGCCGGATTAAAATGCGAACAGGTAACATATGGAGGCGACGGGTCAAACTTCACAAAAAATCGGGTCCTCCTCGAGTCCATCCTCGTCCTTATATACAGGAATAGCCACTCGAATTTCGAACGGAACTTCAAACTGCCGGGCTTATCGAACAAACGTGCCGAGAAAGATATGCGTGCTACCTTCCGCCAAATTATAGACGAGTATATCAAGAAATATCACCCCAACGAATACGTCGCGGGGCGGGGGTCAAACTATACGATACCAGACCAGATCGTTCGTGGAGGAGAAATACTGCGACGGGAGTGGGCGGCACCGCGGGGGCAGGCACCGGCGGGGACCGATGGCGGCGATGGCGTTATGGACGACGAAGGGGAGGGGGAGGAGGAGGAGCTGACGGCGGATGACTTCAGCGCGGAGGGAGTGATATAAGTTGTCATAACGTACCTGTTACAACGCCTCGCGCGGCAGCCGCCGCGGCGAGAGCCTCCGGATTGAAGACTACTCGTCGATAAGACGGTGCCTGAAACGCCGTCGTGGACCAAAAGTCGTCATAGTTGCGAGGGCGGGCGGGCGCAGGCAAATGGCCGGTACCGCCCAGAGCTGACCCTTGCGGCAGCCCAGCACCGACAGCAGAGGAGGCGGCACTGACGGAGGAGGCGGCGGTGCTGACGGAGGCGGCGGCGGCGCTGACGGAGGAGGCGACGCTGGCAGAGGAGGCGGCGGCGGCGCTGACAGAGGAGGCGGCGGCGTTGGCAGAGGAGGCGGCGGCGTTGGCAGTGGTGCCGGTGCTGTCGATGTTCTCCTTGTTGGCCGTCTGAGCGGGCCCCGCCTGTCCGTACAGGGGGCACTGCTTGCTCCGTCCTGTAGCAAATAAATGAGAGTGAAGACGAGGAGTGGTTACCACTTACGAGTGTGCCCGGGTTGGAAACATGCGCCGCAATGCCGAACGACCGTCGCGCGCGTTCCTTCAGATTCCGCGTTCGCGTTCGCGGCCGATTGTGGACGGAGAGGATGTGAAGCAAGTGGAGCAGGGGGTGGAGGGTAGTGGCTAGTCCTGACGTTAGCTACTACGGAGGAGTGTTGCGATGTGTACGCACGTCGCAACAAGTTCCAGTATGCCCTCGCCCAGCTCCCAGGTCAAGTCCCATTTGACCTCCTTGTACAACTCGTCCAGTGAGCTGAGCTTCCGCGCGCGTGCACAGTCTGCGATGCGACCGAGCTCTTCGTCCCCCATAATCATGCCCGTACCCATATTGTTGAGGTGCGCGCGGCCGAATGTCTTCAGTGTCTCGGCGCGGCGGAAGTCGTGGAGGGCCCGTCGGAAGGCGATGTCGGTAGTGTTCATGGTGTAATTGGTCTCGATATGGGACGCGCGAGGAGCGGAGGGTCGGGAGATGTCGGCAGGAGAGGGGAGGAAGCTGAAGGCAGGGTGTGAGGGGCTGCAGAGGGAACAGCAGACGGGAGAAGCAGGAAGTCCGCAGCGCGTGCAACCAGCGCCAGGTAAACACTTCTCGTTATCGGAGACTGATTTAACGTAACGCCCAAACTGTAAGTCCCTCGCGTGGCTAGAATCAAGGTAATCGCAGAATCAACACACCTGCTCTATCGTTCTCATAATACGCTTGAATCGGAGTACGATAGCATTTGAAAGGGCGTGTTGCGGCATTGACCAGGTTGTCCAGCTCGGGGGAGAGCTCGCCGTCTCCCTTCTTCGACTTGGACTTTGCCGCTGCCGCTGCCGCCTTCGCTGCCGCCGCCTGAGAGCTCTTGTACTCTATCCGTAGCTTCTCACATTCCGACATCACTGGGATGTTGTGCACCGCCTGTGATGATTCGGCCACAGACGCAGCGGCCTGATCTGGCCGCAATCTCGACCTGGCAATCGACTCGTCGCCATCCTCACCCGGATCTTCGGCTCGTTTCCGCTTCCGTTGCTCTGCCGCCACCGCCTTGTTGACCTCGGCCTCCTTTCGCTTCTCCCTTCGCTTCTCCGCCCTCTTTGCTGCCGCCTCCTTCTCCTCGTCGAAATACTTGGACTCGACTAGCACTACGGCGACCGCTTCGGTTCCAGGCCCGCGCGCCGCGCGCCCAATCCTCTGCCATAGGCTGTCAATATCACAGGTAAGCTTCCATTGGACGATGAGCTCGACGTCTGGAATGTCAACGCCCTATAATAATATCTGATGTGAGTTGCCAGGCACCATGATACTAATTAAGTCGCGGTCTCACCATCCCGAATGAGTCCGTGCAATACAGCCCCCAGAGTTTGCCATCTCTGAACTCGTTTGTAGCTGCCTCGCGCAACGTCGCTGTGACGTCGGAATTGAAGCAAAGCAGCTTGAAACGGTCCTCAGGTGGGAAATGCTTCCGCAAAACATCCGCCGCCTGAATGGACTCCTCAATATTGTCGAAGAACGTCAGAGACTTGAAAGGTAAGCCATCTCCTCGTTTCCATCCCTTCCCAAGCAGCACCTCTACGAGGTCCTGAAAGCTTCCCAGCGCGTGCTGTATCTTCCTGACCGTGAGGTACACGTTAGGACGGTCGTTTGAACGGCGATGTATTTCGACCCGCGCGCGCTGCAAATGCAGGGTGTCCAGAACCCCGTTGAGAACGGGATCTGGCATCGTGGCTGACGGCATGAGAAACGGCGCTGATAGCAGATTGCGCATGCGGCCCGCATCTGCATAGTCGGTCCGGAACGAGGCCCAGCTGAAGACGCAATGGGCCTCGTCCCATACAACCGAGATAAGACGCGCGGTAAACTCCTTCTTTCTCCAGATTTTCGCGAAGCCCCCCTTCACTTTGAAGGCTTGTTCCGGGTTGACCACAACAACGCGGTAGGCGCACATTCCTATGTCCTGCATGTGACGAGATCGGTAAGTGCGCGGTACGCGCAATGCTCGGCGCGCGACCCGACACAACTGACCTGAAAATTTTTCGCCGTAGCCGTTTTCGCTGATATCGCAATAGCACGAATTCCGAGGTCGGCTAACTGCTTAGTGTTCTGAACTCCCAAGACGTTCAGCGGTGTTATGATTATCTGGATACCGTTAGGCCGGAAGAGGAGTGGCATCCAGAAGGTTAACGTCTTCCCGGATCCTGTGCCAGATATACAAACTACATCCCGATCCCCTCGTAGCATAGACCGGGTGACTTCGCATTGCCAGAGACAGGGACGCCGTTTAAAAGCCTGCAGAGTCTTCGCTCGGATTTCGTCTATAGATGGAAGCCCAGAAGTACCAGTCGGTGCCGCCATAGTCGTGCTTCTACGTTCGAAGCATACGTACGGCACTCAGATCTTCGAGAATTTTAATGGATTAGCGCGCTCTTCCTTTTCAGCACCCTGGTTGCCTATCTCGCCCCGTACCTCGCGCACTCCCCGAGGATTATATTAAGAATATCTTAATTGAGAGCGCCCGCGGCCGCCCCCTTCCAAATAGGGGGGATCGGCGCGCGCCTTCTGCCCGAGCCCCGTTGTTTACTCATGTTTGGTGCCAGCCGCTGCTGAGAGGGAGGGGGAAATAAGGTTGGGATATGTGCACGTGATGGATTTATGTGGGCAGGCGCTCGTGTGGGCATGTCGGATTTACATTGTCTACGCTACTTGACTTCGCCCCCTCCCTCGAAGCAGACGGGTGAGTAGGAGCCTGGGATGGGCCGCGAGTTGGGTGTATATCCGCAACAAACGATAAAATCTAACACAATCGAATGCATGTCGCGCCGAGGAAAGCGGAGATGGATGCGGCATGTTCCTCTGCCTAGAATTACGACTGCGGCTTTATGCCTCAGATGGGGACGGGCGCGGGGCACTTGACAGGTAGGGCCAGCTGGGACCAGCACGGTCTACAAGCTATATGTTTGGAGAGAAAGGATGTGACGTGCGCCACAGTACTCACAACATCAGTACAGGTTGAACCACCCTCTCCGACCTGCGCTCGTACCCCGAGCATGGTGCACATTTGTCGTGCTCGCTGTCATTGTCGTTGTCGTACTACAAGGGCGACGTGGGAGGTTGCCGCAGGCGTCTGCGTTCTCAACCCTTGCCGTGCCACAGCGCAGCACTTGTGCACCTTCCCAGAAGTCACCAGCCCAAGAGAGGGCTGAGGCGGGAGCTACAGAAGACATGAGCGCGAGTGCAGCATCAACGTGCTGGGTAAGCGGGCATCAGCGTCATATTGCGCGCAGTGCGATGACCGCCTACCTTGCCCAGGGCGGTCTGGAGACCTGTGTTGTGTATCATGCAGTCGAGGCTATCGCGCGGCTGTGCTGTATGTAGTAAGTTATATGCGCATCTATCTCTTTTGGAAGTATGCTCACCTTATTCGCATTTGTATCGCGTACCGCGCGCAAGCAACGTGGCTATCGTGCTGCGCCATCGCCGTACATCCCGTCCCGAAGGTTCCGGGACACGCGGAGTCGCGTGATGGCATCGCAGACGAACGTCCATGACATGTGCATGGGCGATGTGCATGGTGCGTATTTCAGCGCTGTTCGGAGATGTCTGAAGCACCTAACGATGTCTGTGTCGCTTTCTCAGGCCGTTCGCCCTGTTGTGGTGCCCTCCGCGCTCTGCCAGACGTAGGTCTGGCCCGTGTTATATCACGTTGCGTGCTTGTAAGGGCCCGAACCACTGGGTTCGGCGCCTAGTGATACTGTACAGTCACGGCGGTTGCCGAGTACTATTCCTCGAGCGCTTACTCGCTCGAGGAGGACATCTTTTGTACTACGCTACCTCCACGTCCTCTGAGTAAAGACTCGGTTTAACGTACCTCTAGCGTGTCTCCAGATCCCGCCTAGCTTCGGCGCTCACCTAGGCGACACCTTACAGTGCTCCCCGCCAGTGCGCCTTGCGTGTCCCGCGCGAGCACGTTCGGAGGTCCACGCGAAGATCCCAGCTGCTTGCCCGCCACGCGACGTCAGAAATTGGCTTAGCGAAAGGATTTGCAGTGCTTACCCGGTCGCGCGCGGCGCTCGTGCGACGTCAATAACGCACTCCAAGATCGTCTCCCGGATCTCCTCGACACAGGAGGACATGCGGAGGTGCAGAGGGCGCGCTGCTAGGGGTAACGGTTCGTGATCAACTGCGAGAGGATGATACACGACATGGTAAGCATCGCACGAGGCTCGCAATTACATGAACAACTCACCTGAACCTGTAGATGCATATCCAGGTCGTGCGCGTGGGTCCTGCGCTCGGAAACACACAGCGGGGCGCCCGTAAATGCGTCGCGATCCTTGCGGACGATTTGTCGACTCCAGCAGGTCGTCCTGCTTGCCCAAGTGTCAATATCGTCTTCCGGAGCGAGACGGGCTTCCCAGGGCGCTGCACGAGGGCTGAGTGCGCGTCGGCGGCTCCTCAAGCGTTCAGAGCGCGCCACAGGAGCGCTCAGTAGCCATTTCCGGCTCCCCCGCGTCGTTCCTGCTGCTGGGGAAGCCACCGCCCTCACAGGACGCGAAGCACGCTCCGGGGCAGCCATATTCGCTTTCTGAACGTGCCCAGACTGTTCCCGGCATCCCGGGAGATGCCAAAGTCCGCTGGCGGGCTTTCCTCGCGTATCTTGGCCGCCTGGGCGGAACTGCACTGTGAGTCAGGTATTCTAGCGTCTGGAAATGTATATACTCACTCGTTTGCGCGCTCCAGTGGCAGTGGCAGCTGTCCCTGCACACAAGCTGAAAGCAGGGAGCACCAGCATGTGCGCGTAGAAAGCGGGCGACACGGTCGGGCCTCGCGGATGTAGAACGGCCCCGGGAGCGCGGACAAGACCCTCTTTGTGCGCGTCGAGTCTTGAGCGTGCGGTATACAATGTTGGGCAACCGGAGGAGCGCGAGCCAACGTCCCGCGCGCGCGCTCAGTCGCGGCATTGATACGAGCACGGTAGTGACTGGAACACTCGCCTGGGGAGCTTGTGCAAAGACGGCGACGCTGAATCTGCGAGAACGAGCAGGAAGGTGCGGCAGCAGTGTCCGATCCCTGCTCGTCCTTCGCATCCGTTCCTCGAAGACGCGTTGTGCATTCCGGAACAGCTACACCATCTTCGGTACTCGCCTGGCATGTATCCGGCATCCCGCGGGGTGGCAACGCCCGCTGACGGCCGTTCCTTTCCATCCTTGTCATCTGGATGAACCTACACGGTGAGTGAGTTGTTCTGAAGTCCAGAAACACTCGCGCTTACTTCCTAGTCAATGTCAAGGCCAGCGCAAAAGTGCGCACCGGCGTGTGCGCATGGGAGGTGGCTGGCGAGGTCGGGCCTTCAGGTTTCTGGCGCGGGACGGCCCAGTGGGAGCGCGGGAAAGACTCTGCGAGTGCGCCGGGGGTTCAGGGCGCGCAACGCACCGTACTGAATGTCGGAGAGCTGAAACTGACTTGCCAGCCCGTGCAGTTAGTTCTGGTAGTGGTACGAGAATGATTAGGGCCGGAATACTCACCTTGGGAGCTCACGCGATGACGGCGGCGTGGACTTGCCCTTGCGAGCATTCGTAGACCGTTGCGAGCAGAGCCCGGGGGCGTGAGCGCGGATATTCCAAAATTCGCCCTTCCTGCGTGTCTCCGCGCGACGACGAGTCCTCGCGATATGTTCAGGGAAGACGGCGTCTTTGTATGTCTATCACCTGCGCGGAGGTCTTGGTGGGTATCAGAGATGTCCCCGAGCGGCACAGTACTGGCCTCTTCGATTTCGCGAGCCATTTGCTGACACTCTTCCTTCAGATGGCCTCGGAGTCGACGGGAGACTGAGAGGGCGCGCGAGCACGAGATATTGCGGCTCACGGCCTGTTTTGTAGCACCGTATATCGTCGTTCAAATGCCATAGTCTTGAGCACCCATTCCGAGTCCGAGCGAGCCCAGTCCGAGTGCCAGCCCCCCCTCTCCCAGTGACGAGTCCCAGCTCCAACCTAGCACCCAGAATCGTCGCAGAGTCCGTCAATCCATCTAGGAGGTCCAGCTGCATCCCGAGATAGACGACCATGCGAGATCCACCACAAAGCCCGGCGCGCGCAGCGGTACACGACGTCGTCGTCCAAGTCCAAGTGCAACCCGCGCCCGCCTAGCCCCACACTCTGCCGCCCAACACCGCCACTTCACTCGGCAACGAAATATACCCCAGTTCGCGCGCGACTATGTACACGCCCCGCCGTGCCCATCTTCACGCGAGCGGACAACGGCGGGAGCAGTGCACTGCGAGCGACGGACCCCGCAAGGATCGTACAGCCTCATCCCCCCGCTTCTCCGCGGAACGCTCCCGTTCTCGCTCCTCCGCCTCATCTGCACTCCGTCGCTTCTCGTCTGAAGCGCCCTTGTCTTCTACGGCCGCACCTTCACCTGCAGATTCCAAGTCCCTCGAAGCTGCATCGTGTTCGGCCTGCTGCCGCGCCACGACTCTGCTTTTCCGGAGCTCCCACCCGCTGGACCACCCGAACCATGTGTACCGCGGGACATGCGGTCCACGCACAAGCAGGACGATGAGCGAGAAGACCGTCCATGCAAGGTTGAGCGAGGCATCCGGCCGCCAGCCGTGGTCTGTGTAAACCTTGGACCCTACAGCGGTGCCCATCACCTGTCCAATGAATAGCTGCAGCCGTGTTATTATTAGCAAGATTCAAATAAGGTACGCAGAAGGCAAACACACACGGAAAGCAGGACGACCGCGTTGAGCTGCGAACGCGCATTAGGCTCGAGCCCGAGCACAGCCGTCGTGATTGACACCTGCTGCGTCTGCCGGAAGACGTCAAGCCCGATGCAGACATCGACGACGATGGCGACCGCCACCGTCTGGAGCGTGAACGTGAGCGTGAGCATGGAGATCACGACGAGCGTCACGGACCACGGCACGAGCCCGTCGATCGTGCACCCAACGAATGGCGCCGTTGCAATGCCCACCATACCCGGAACCAGGCTGAATAGACCAATCACGATGCTACAGGCAATAAGCGGCGAGATTGAGAGATGGTAGGGAGTGGCTTACATGGAGTAGTTGTACTGATGTACTGAGGACCACCCGATTGGAACGTGAGCGTGTCCCACTAGTTCGTGAAGCACACGCTGGACGGGATGGTAATTAGGATGGCCTGCACGAGCAGTGGCTCCGTGACGGTGAACTTCACCATGCTGTAAAGAATGCCAAAGTATGTGATGCCCTTGTTCTTGGCGGGGTAGTCCGGGAGCATGAAGTAGAGCATCACGAGCACGCCGTACTGCACGCCGATCGCCCCAAAGTACACGACGCACCAGGTTACAAACGGCGCGACGACGTCGGCGAGGACCCGCGCGATGAGCACACCGAAGAGTAGGCCAGAAAGAACAATGGAGAGCGCAGAGGCGCGGCGCTCCGGTGGCGCAAGAGTGGCTGCGAGGGGCATCAGAATTTGCGGCGTGACGCTGCCTATGCCAATCAGGAATGACAGCACTTCAAATACGACGAGGTTTTTGGTGATCGCGAGACCTATAGTGAGTGAGGCTGTTCTCGCCGCGAGCAGCAGGAGCAGCTGTCGTCGTCGGACGAGGTCGCCAAGAGGAGTAATGAATAGCCTGAGGCCGATAACATAGCTAAACGTCGACGTAAGTTTTGTGGTGTGCGCGATGAAGAAAAACAGATTCAAGTTACCCAGCCTGAACAAGGGTCGGGATATTTGAGACTTCATGGTATGTTACGGTGTGATTGGGTGAACTGAACTACGGCAGTAGGTTGTTAGTGACTTGGCTGCATAAATGATGGGACTAGTGCAAAGAGGACTCCTCCGCGACAATCCAGAGTCTGCAACTCGTGATACTTGTAGCTCCGTAAACACGATCGCAACCACGAGCGGTCAGACTAGCTGCCCTACGGACCCCTATAAGCGGTCAAACACACAGAGCGCCTTCCGAGGCTTTCGGTGGCTATTGAGGGTATCTTGGGTGTCTTATGCCCTCACGATGCCCTGGAAAGGCCTGAGAGGCCTCCCTTTGGCAAGCCATGCAAGGATGGTGCGAGCGAAACGTTCGAGACGGGGATGTGGCAGGAGTGTTACTCACTGAGCAGCAGTTGGCAGTAGTACAGGTTCGACACAACTGCAGTATCCTTGATGGTTAGCGGCTTATTGGCTGAATCAATCCATGCACGCACTGAATGTACTGGCAAGCCCGAACGTAACATTCATCGCCAGTCCAAAGTGTGCCGGATGTTGTGGGTCATATTGCAGACTCTTCGGGATAAGAAGGAAGCTGAATTCCTTTGCGCCTCCGACCACGGCAAAGTTGGAAGACGGGTCCTTCTGCGGCTCCGCCCCTGGCGCGGGGATGGGTGATGGCAGCGTCTCCGAGGAGGACGCTCCATCTGCATCGCACTGCAGCTCCTGGGCGTGGACACCAGAGAGAGACATGGCTGAGGCGAGCAGAGTGGTGCACGAAGGACAGGCGTTTGAACGGCTGTGTTTACTTATGAGTAATGTCGCAAATAGCTCCGTCGAGAACAATCAGTACTCGGATTCAGCGTGCTCAGCTTCGCGTGCGCTCCACGTCAACCCTAACCCGATGATAGCTCGCAACGGAAGAGGTGAACAAAATATATATTTCAACCCATGCAGCGCTAGAGCAGGGTGTCAAGAGGTGCTCAGGAATCTCGCGTGTTTTGAGCGCCTGAGTGGGCGCTTCGAAGCTGACCCGTCCTGCTTGCCATACATGTGCGTCCCGATCGACTGGTTTCGAGTCTGGTGTCTCTGCACGATCGGAGATTGCTGGCTGGCGATCTGCTCACGTGTGCACTCGTACCCCCACCATCTTTCGTTAAGGTGAACTTGAAGTTGAAGTGTCCCGCTGCTTCACCCCCTCCCTTGGCTTTTTCAATGGACTCCAGTGCCTCTTCGTTGGGATACCGAAGCCGATCTACTTCACCGTCGCTCCTAGGCATCCCTCGCAAGCGCGCTACGACCGGGAGATTATCGGCTTTAAGCGACACGTGGCTCCGTCGTCCCCTCTGCGTTCCTTTGAGTCTCGCCTCACGGACCCCGTCAGCTCCTCGATCGAGGATTTCTCCCTCACCGATGGGATCGAGGAGGAGGAAATGGACGGGGCGTTGTCCGTGACCGCGGGCCTCCTTGACGACCTGACATACGACGGAGAGGCGCCCGATGCAGACTGTATGTCACCCTCCGCTCGCTCGTCATCCCCTGCGTCTCTCCTGCCCACCTTGGACTGCAAAGGAGACCTCGTTGCTTTCTGCAACTTAGTCGCATTATCTCTCAATACCGTCTACTCGACGCTCCGCAACGGTCCCCCGGCGGACCAGACTCTCCTGGCCTGGGCTTCCCTGCACGCAGCACTGGATCGGCTTCATACATAGGACGGTTCAGTCGTTTAGCAACTCCTACGACCACGTCTCTGGAGTCATGGTCGGCTTCCAAGATGACCGCGTCGGGCTCGACTGCGCCGCACTGGATAGTGCTTCTGGCCCTGCAACGCGGACGGCCACCCCATTCACCCCCTCCTCGTCTATGCCATCCCCGCGTATGCCCTCGTCACCGTCTATGCCCCGCTCGCCATCCACCACTTCCCCCTCCCTTATGCCTCGTTCCTCGCTGCCGGATGGCCCTAGCCAACGGTCCAGCTCTATGCCTCCGTCCATGCGCGGGCTGCCTGCGCCGTCCATCATCGATGTGATTCCGGAGCAGCCTGGCGGCTCCACAACGTATGCTGATTATACCGCATTGGGCGACGTTGAGTCCAGGTGGATGATCCCCGGCCGCGGTTGCCCTCCCCTGCCCCGCGGCCCTCGCTCGCCTCTCGTATCCGCTCGCCGGCCCCGGCGACGTCTCAGCCTCTCTCTAGATACCTTCGCTCTCCGGCCCGACCAGGCTGCCGGCACGCCTCATGGACCCTTCTGCAAAGGAGCCGGGGGAGTGCGGCCGCTCTCCCAGCCCGCGACCAAGACTCTACAAAGGTCCCCCTTCATCCGTCATCAAGCGCGTGTGTCCGAACGGGCTGCGCCACCTCATTGATCGGTCCCTTGTCCGCTAGTGCTTGAACTGCTGGGCCTGGGGCCACTCCACCGACACTTTCTTTGTCACGACCGAGCCATGCGTCCGGCGTGGCGAGGCTCACGACGTTCGCATCCACAACCGCTCCGCATCCTGCTGCAGAGACTACCCCGACAGCGACCAGAACGCGCGCCCCTGCGCCCCGTGCTGCCGCAACTGTGGCGGCAAGCACTACGCGGATATCGAGCAGAGTGCGAGTACGGGCGACACCGCGCTGATCGCAGCTATGGTCGTACCCGCTTGGCTCGGCGTGCCCACGCCATCTCCACTAATCACGCCACTCACGAGCTCGGACCTAACGGCTCTTCTTCCTCCGCCACCGCTGCATCCTTACGTTTCGGCCCCGCAGACGTGCGGCTCTTCGACGCTCTAGCAAACCACGACGCCCCCGCGGCGTGCGGAAGGGGAAGGGAAAGGGAAAGGGCCGGGTCGAACATACTACGTAATGCAGCATTCTCTCCATGTCGTGTTCTAAAATATTCAACTCTCATATGCTCCTCGAGCAGTGTGCCGCCGCCCAGGTTGACGTTGTCTGCGCCAGGGGAGCCTTGTTATGGACCAGTCCGCCGCATCCCCTCTGCGTCTCCGGCTGGGCAGACCGGGCGCCTCCGCATTCCGCGGCTCGCATTGGCGAAGTCCTCAACCTCCATACCCGCCTCGGCCTCCGCCTTCTTACCCCCATCGGCGTAACCACAAACCATCTTCATAGAGAAACCTTCCGTCCGACAGTCATCGCCCTTGTCTGGGTTCCGGACAACCGCGCGCAGGAACTATATGATTTCGCGTCGCTCCACAGGAACGTGGCCTGTCAGATCATGCGGTTATTCATGCTATCATCCCGGCCGGCGAGTGGTCATATCAGAGGGCCCCTTTCATCCCAGCCAAGTCAGATGCGGAGATGGAGTTTCTCGACACCGCGTGCGAAGGGGTCCGTCAGCGCCTCCCACAAACGACTCCGATGGGACTGGAAGAGGAGTTGTGTCGCGCGGTGGACACTCTATGCTCATATATAATCGACGCCTGCCACTGGCAGGCCCGTCACTATGTACAGTCTACAGTCAGTCTCTCCATTGGTGGGACCATACATGTTCGGAGGCGATTCAAGGACTCGAGCGCGCCCGCGAGCATCAAAAGGTACTCTCCAGCATGTGTGCGCCTGCTGTTGTAGTACAAGACGATGCTCAAATTCTTGAAAGACAATGTGCTGTCCATCGAGCAGTTTATTGATATCGGGTGCGTCTCATTCTGAAGCTTACCTCACGAATTGCCGACTCTAACAGCAGCCCGCTTTTGCAGAGATAGATCACCCCGCCGCGCTGCATCGGATACACATTGGATTGCCCGCGACCGTTGAGCACTCAAGCGAAGCAAGGCAAGAGACGGCGAAGTGGGTCACGGAGACGACCCGGTTATGCACCACACCTCCAGTGTCCCTTCACGTCGATCCCACTTCCGATGGTAGAACTTCATCACCTTCGTCGATGCGTTGAAGCTGCGCATGCGCGCAGAGGATCAGCTGTACTCAGTCCTCAAGGATCTAGTCACGAGCTGTGCACGCTTCAAACGCAGCAAGGACCAGAGGGTCCCGGTTAGAGCAACATGGCCAACTGGTGCGTCGGTGTGCTCGTCCGCGCCTGATGGATGTGTAGCTCACGATGTGGGCGCAGGCTGATCATGCTGAACGGTATGGAGGAGCAAGCGAATCAGGTGAGTGCCTTTGTATGCGATTGCGCCATGCAGACCGTGTTCATTAGTCGTGCATACAGTCCTCAGCTTCCCTGCTCCCCGCTGCGCACGGTTGTATACCTCACACCCTCACACATCCCCTGCACATCTCCGCTCCGCCCGCTAAATCTTCCCCAGCTGCGAGCGGCCTCTCGCTAAATTTGTCCAACTTCACGCGGGATTTTCTTATGTGCTGGGGCGGTCGACGTGAACGCCGCGGCGGGGGG